TATTGCAGCTACAAAAACAACTGTACCGTAAGTTCCGTAGTGAATATTTGGATTCTGCGAACAGATATGAATAGCAGAAAACTAGATGAATATCCAATATGCTCTAACTTTTTGTTTAACTTGTTGGGGTAGTGGTCAAAAATGGCAGTTGTTTTCATAAATGTTACAGAAAATGTTGTTGATGCGATTACTTAAACTGCTGTAACTTTAGATAGGAACGCTTTAACTTTTTGTCTAAGTTCTTGTAAAGTGGAATTATTAGCTGATTTGGGTCAAAAGTTGCATGATTTCACTTACAGATAATGGCAGTTGGAAGGGATGATGTCACAATAGGGAGCCTTAGAATGTTGAGAAATTCCATGAAAGTGGATGGAGGAGAAAAAGAAGACAAGAAAGTGAATAACGTAAAAAGTATAACAGATATCAAAAAGTTGTATACAAGCAACTCGATCGAGACTGTTCCGAATTTTTGAAGTTTGAACGGCGTTTCTAGCTTAAACTGTAGGAGGAGTAGCGTGTGTAATAATAATAATTATAATAATTATAATAATTAGAAGAAGAAGAAGAAGAAGAAGAAGAAGAAGAAGAAGAAGAAGAAGAAGAAGAAGAAGAAGAAGAAGAAGAAGAAGAAGAAGATCTAAGCTGGGGCTCTTGCTGTACAAGCCCCACAATAACTAGATGGTAACTTTAGAAGTAAAGTTGTGGGGCTTACTAAACCTCTTTAAATGTTTTTTTTGGCAGTGAAAGAAGTTTAAAAATGTGTACTTTGATTCTATTATTCAAATAGTGAAATCATTTTTAATTTCCATCTATAGTCGGTAGATTTGGTCAGAAGTTGTGGTTGGTAGTAGAGGTCAGTAGTTATCTGGTTCAATAGTTGTGGTCAGTAGTTGTGTGGTTGTGGTAAAAAGTTGTGTGGACATGGTCAGTAGTTACATGTGTGGTCAGAAGTTGTGTGGTTGTGATATGTAATTTTGTGGTTGTGGTCACTAGATGTGGAATGCAGTTGTGTGGTTGCAGTCAGAGGTTGTGTGGTTGTGGTCACTAGATGTGGTCAGAAGTTGTGTGGTTGTGGTCATTGCAAATAGTCCTGGTAGGCATTTGATTAGCGGTTCAGGAGTCTTATGGCTTGGGGGGTAGAAGCTGTTAAGAAGCCTTTTGGACCTAGACTTGGTGCTCCGGTACTTCTTGCCGTGCGGTAGCAGAGAGAACAGTCTATGACTAGGGTGGCTAGAGTCTTTGACAATTTTTAGGGCCTTCCTCTGACACTGCCTGGTATAGAGGTCCTGGATGGCAGGAAGCTTGGCTCCAGTGATTTCGGAGGACGAGAAGTTGCCATACCAGGCAGTGATGCAACCAGTCAGGATGCTCTTGATGGAGCAGCTGTAGAATGTTTTGATCTGAGGACCCATGCCAAATCTTTTCAATGTCCTGAGGGGGAATAGGCTTTGTCGTGCCCTCTTCACGACTGTCTTGGTTTGTTTGGACATTGATAGTTTGGTGATGTGGACACCTAGGAACTTGAAATTCTCAACCTGCTCCACTACAGCCCCGTCGATGAGAATGGGGGAGTGCTCGGTCCTCTTCTTTTTCCTGTAGTCCACAATCATCTCCTTTGTCTTGATCACGTTGAGGGAGAGGTTGTTATCCTGGCAGCACACGACCAGGTCTCTGACCTCCTCCTTATAGGCTGTCTCGATCGTTGTCGGTGATCAGGCCTACCACTGTTGTGTCGTCGGCAATCTTAATGATGGTGTTGGAGTCGTGCCTGGCCATGCTGTCATGGGTGAACAGGGAGTACAGGAGGGGACTGAGCACGCACCCCTGAGGGGCCCCCGTGTTGTGGATCAGCGTGGCAGATGTGTTGTTACCTACCCTTACCACCTGGGGGCGGCCCGTCAGGAAGTCCAGGATCCAGTTGCAGAGGGAGGTGTTTAGGCCCAGGGTCCTTAGCTTAGTGATGAGCTTTGAGGGCACTATGGTGATGAACGCAGAGCTGTAGTAAATTAATAGCATTCTCACATACAGTTGAAGTCGGAAGTTTACATACACTTTAGCCAAATACATTTAAACTCAGTTTTTCACATTCCTGACATTTAATCCTAGTAAAAAGTCCCTGTCCTAGGTCAGTTAGGATCTCACCACTTTATTTTAAGAATGCGAAATGTCAGAATAATAGTAGAGAGAATTATTTATTTCAGCTTTTATTTATTTCATCACATTCCCAGTGGGTCAGAAGTTTACATAATTTGTATTTGGTAGCATTGACTTTAAATTGTTTAACTTGGGTCAAAAGTTTCGCGTAGCCTTCCACATGCTTCCCACAATAAGTTGGGTGAATTTTGGCCCATTCCTCCTGACAGAGCTGTTGTAACTGAGTCAGATTTGTAGGCCTCCTTGCTCGCACACGCTTTTTCAGTTCTGCCCACAAATGTTCTATATGATTGAGGTCAGGGCTTTGTGATGGCCACTCCAATACCTTGATTTTGTTGTCCTTAAGCCATATTTTCACAACTTTGGAAGTATGCTTGGGGTCATTGTCCATTTGGTAGACCCATTTGCGACCAAGCTTGAACTTCCTGACTGATGTCTTGAGATGTTGCTTCAATATATCCACATAATTTTCCTTACTCATGATGCCATCTATTTTGTGAAGTGCACCAGTCCCTCCTCCAGCAAAGCACCCCCACAACGTGATGCTGCCACCCCTGTGCTTCACGGTTGGGATGGTGTTTTTCGGCTTGCAAGGCACACCCTTTTTCCTCCAAACATAACAATGGTCATTATTTTGTTTAATCAGACTAGAGGACATTTCTCCAAAAAGTACAATCTTTGTCCCCATTTGCAGTTGCAAACCGTAGTCTGGCTTTTTTATGGCGGTTTTGGAGCAGTGGCTTCTTCCTTGCTGAGAGGCCTTTCAGGTTATGTCGATATAGGACTCGTTTTACTGTGGATATAGATACTTTTGTACCTGTTTCCTCCAGCATCTTCACGATGTCCTTTGCTGTTGTTCTGGGATTGATTTGCACTTTTCGAACCAAAGTATGTTAATCTCTAGGAGACAGAACGCGTCTACTTCCTGAGCGGTATGACGGCTGTGTGGTCCCATGGTGTTTATACTTGCATACTATTGTTTGTACAGATGAACGTGGTACCTTCAGGTGTTTGGAAGTTGCTCCCAAGGATGAACCAGACTTGTGGAGGTGTACACATTTTTTTCTGAGGTCTTTTCTGAGGTCTGATTTATTTTGATTTTCCCATGATGTCAAGCAAAGAGGCACTGAGTTTGAAGGTAGGCCTTGAAATACATCCACAGGTACACCTCCAATTGACTCAAATTATGTCAATTAGCCTATCAGAAGCTTCTAAAGCCATGACATCGTTTTCCGTTTCACTTGATTAAAAACCAAGCCCTCAGTAGGCTACCCTTACGCTACTCGTTCAACAGCAATACGTTGTCGTGTGTCTTTTATATCCTGGCCTTGCAGCCAAGTAGCCTATCCATAAAATGTGTTTGAATCGTCCATTCGTGAGAGAGCCTTGAATTGAAAATATACGCACATCCTAAAACATACACACATATGCCTACCTGCATACTTCATTTAGCTTGTTCAAGTATCCATCCCCATTTCCAAAGAGCGGTTAGCAAAGATGCGCTCCTCCAAACGTATTTAAATTATTCAGTCCTATAATGCAGTATCAATGGTAGGGCTAGGCTATATCTTGCTTATTGAGAACGTGCCTCACACATACAATAACATTTGCTGGAGCCTAGAATTTTTTATTTTAGGAGAAGTGCATGTAGGACATACTCATTGAAGCCAATTACAACAATGTTGACTGCCAACACTTCAAACATATTGAGCACACACTGGATATTATTTTTACTGTTGCTATTACTCGTTACTGTAGCCTATGCTATTTAATAAACTGTAGTATCAATCCACAATGGACTAGGATGAGAATATTATATGCCCCAGCCGAATTGGAGTAGATGACAACACAAAGACCGTCAATAACCTACAGAACTTGAGACAACCACATGCAATATTAAGCCATGGAACACTTTGATTGGCCAGTGAGTAACCAGCCCTCGTCACATCTACAACTAATTTATTCATAAAAAACGCCAGCTATTGCGATCATAATGTGAAAAAAAATAGCTCTGACACACCCCTAGACCTATAGCGCTACCGCCAGCGCTAAGATTTACCATTGTTAAAAGAGCCATCAGAGCAGGCGAATAGACAGATTCTACCATTGAAATTAAGACCATGGTGCTTGCCTATGGAGCTGTGAGGGGAACGGCACCTCTGTACCTTCAGGCTCTGATCAGTCCCTACACCCAAACGAGGGCATTGCGTTCATCCACCTCTGGCCTGCTGGCTCCCCTTCCTCTGCGGAAGCATAGTTCCCGCTCAGCCCAGTCAAAACTGTTCGCTGCTCTGGCACTCCAATGGTGGAACAAGCTCCCTCACGACGCCAGGACAGTGGAGTCACTCACCACCTTCCGGAGACATTTGAAACCCCACCTCTTTAAGGAATACCTGGGATAGGATAAAGTAATCCTTCTACCCCTCCCTTACCCCAACCCACCCCCCCCCCCCCCCCCCCCCCCCCCCCCCCCCCCCCCCCCAAAAAAAGAAGAAGAAAAAAATTGAAAAATAAATAAAAAAAAAATAAAAATAAAAAAACATTGTAAAGTGGTTATCCCACTGGCTATAAGGTGAATGCACCAATTTGTAAGTCGCTCTGGATAAGAGCGTCTGCTAAATGACGTAAATGTAAATGTAATGTAAATGTCATGACTGCATCACAACATAAATGAAGGTTGGGTTTGTTTCAATCCTGCCCACATGCCCACCGCTGGCAGTACACAAGTAATCATCAATCAATTGCAGCTGCACACAACCCAATTGTAATACCCGTGGTAAATTTGGCTGTGGGTTTTTGTTTGCGAAGGTGGAGACCTCAATCTCTATCACGTCTCCCCCTAGAACTTAATCGAGCATCTGACCAAATTATGCACGATTTTTGTTCAGGGTTAATCATGAGTCATGAGAGAGGTGGTGGGTTGACAACATCAATACAACTGTAGTGAACATCACAGTCAGTACCTGCTTGGCAGCCACTTCATAACCATCTGGGTTCATGGTAGGAAGGATGTGGGTGCGCGTGTCATGGATGAGGCGTGTGATCCTCTGGTTTCCGGCCCGGTATTCCTCACACAGGAACTGGGAGAGCTGGATCAGCAGCTCCCGACCAAGCACCTCGTTCCCGTGCATGTTCCCCACATACTTGAACTCCGGCTCCACTGAAAAACAAGAGTCAGGTGGCTGGAGGTCAGGAGGGCAAATGGATGAAAAGGTCATAGAGGCTCACATCCGCTTAAAGTGTTGTGTATGCAGAAAACGAAAACAAGCAAGCCCTCACCCCCACACTACCCACTAACCCTCCCCGGCTACTCAGCCTGCCACTACATGTTCTAGCACCATTCATCAGTAGGATCCATCCCTTAGGCCTTTCACTGAGACACAGCACCATTTAATCAAGTGAGTTGTTGAACTGACAATACAGTATCACAGTATCTCTTGAATGTAATATTGATTAAATAGAAACAAACAGTACAGCATCAGCTAACAAAAGACAAAGAACAAGTGACATGATTGGATTATTTAGATAGTGTTTTATGTAGGTAAAAGACACATTTATTGGGTTACCCACTTACCAGAATAGACGTTTACTCCAAATAGGTATTGGATTACTTTATTACTTTATTCATGCTAATAGGGTGGACAGATCTCCAGTACTCCCTATGGGAATTGAGCCCTAGCTTTGCCGACAGATATGCCGCTCAAAAAGCTTTTTACCACCCATTGTTACGTTGCACGACGTTGGAGACTGGAGAGCACTTGCAGCTTCGAACAATGCAAAACAGTCGAGTGAGTTTTAATATTGTGAGTTTTAATATAATACTGCTGAATGGCTAAATTGTAATGTGAATGTAGTGCTATGTATGTATATTTATGTATATTATGTATTTGTTTGTGTTGTTTCCTTTTTGGACCCCAGGAAGAGTAGCTGCTGCCTCGGCAGCAGCTAATTGGGGATCCTAATAAATACTAAATATTGAAGTCTTAAAATGTGAGGAATTTACAGTACAATATCAGGTATTTCTACAGCTGCACCATTGAAAGCATCTTGACAGGCTGCATCACTGCTTGGTATGGCAACAGCACCACCCTCGATCGCATGCCGCTACAGAGGGTGGTGCGGACAGCCCAGTACATCACTGTGGCCGAGCTCCCTGCCATCCAGGACCTCTATATCAGGCGGTGTGAAAGGAAGGCCCGGAAAATCGTCAAAAGACTCCCACCCAAGCCATAGACTGTTCTCTAGATTCCTCACGGCAAGCGGTACCAGTGCATCAAGTCTGACACCAACAGGCTCCTGAACATTATATTTATTTTTGCACTGTCTCTATGAACACTCACAGGACTCTACACACTCATGCTCACTGACACTCCAACACACACACAACATGCACACACATTTATACTGACTCTACACACACGCACCCACACTCACATACGATCATAATTTACGCTGCTGCTACTCTGTTTATCATATATCCTGATGCCTAGTCACCTTACGCCTATACATATCTACCTCTATCACTCCAGTATCCCTGCACATTGTAAATATGGTATTGGAACTGATCCTGTATATAGCTTCTTACTTTCTCGTGTTCTTCCTGTTTATATTTCTGGTGTGTTTTTGTTTGACCTCATGTTATTTTTAGTGCTACATTGATATTGGGTTTGGAGCTTGCAAGAAAGGCATTTCACTATACTTGTGCACGTGACATTAAAACTTAAAACTTGAAACAATTTATAACATTTGCATTGGGGACAATGCAAAAAAACATGTTTGACCCCTTGATTGGAGAAAACACTGATGGTCCAGTGGACCCTACGCATTGCAACTATAGCTCTCCCGACATCAAGTAGCATGACAACTTTTCTAGAAGTTTAAGGCCTAGATTCAATCTGAACCGCAGAAGGTCCGTGCTATAGCGTGACTTAAATTTAAAGGCAATGTTCCCGCGTTCGTGGAGACTGCATCTGCCTCGCCCTCTATTTTGAAAATCTGACCATAATTCTATCCTCCTGATTCCTGCTTACAAGCACAAACTAAAGCAGGAAGTACCTGTGATTCGCTCAATATGGAAGTGGTCAGATGATGCGGATGCTACGCTACAGGACTGTTTTGCTAGCAGAGATTGGAATATGTTCCGGGATTCATCCATTGGCATTGAGGAGTATACCACCTCAGTCACCGGCTTCATCAATAAGTGCATTGACGACGTCGTCCCCACAGCCGTAAGTACATATTCCAACCAGAAGCCATGGATTACAGGCAACATCTGCACCGAGCTAAAGGCTAGAGCTTCCGCTTTCAAGGAGCGGGACACTAATCCGGACACTTATAAGAAATCCCGCTATGCCCTCTGACGAAACATCAAACAGGCAAAGCGTCAATACAGGACTAAGATTGAATCCTACAACACCGGCTCTGACGCTCGTCAGATGTGGCAGGGCTTGCAAACTATTACGGACTACAAAGGGAAACCCAGCCATGAGCTGCCCAGTGACACGAGCCTACCAGACGGGCTAAATGCCTTTTATGCTTGCTTCGAGGCAAGCAACACTGAAGCATGCATGAGAGCACCAGCTGTTCAGGATGACTGTGTGATCACACTCTCCATAGCTGATGTGAGCAAGACATTTTAAACAGGTCAACATTCACAAGGCCGCGGGGCCAGACGGATTACCAGGACGTGTACTCAGAGCATGCGCGGACCAACTGGCAAGTGTCTTCACTGACATTTTCAACCTCTCCCTCACCGAGTCTGTAATACCTACATGTTTCAAGCAGACCACCATAGTCCCTGTGCCCAAGAAAGCGAAGGTAATCTGCCTAAATGACTACAGCCCCGTAGCACTCACGTTGGTAGCCATTAAGTGCTTTGAAAGGCTGGTCATGGCTCACCATCATCCCGGAAACCCTAGACCCACTCCAATTCGCATACAGCCCCAACAGATCCACAGATGACACAATCTCAATCGCACTCCACACTGCCTTTCCCACCTGGACAAAAGGAACTCCTATGTGAGAATGCTTTTTATTGACTACAGCACAGCGTTCAACACCATAGTGCCCACAAAGCTCGTCACTAAGCTAAGGACCCTGGGACAGAACACCTCCCTCTGCAACTGGATCCTGGACTTCCTGATGGTCTGCCCCCAGGTGGTAAGGGTAGTCAACAACACATCTGCCACGCTGATCCTCAACACAGGGGCCCCTCAGTGGTGCGTGCTTAGTCCTCTCCTGTACTCCCTGTTCACCCACGATTTCGTGGCCAAGCACGACTCCAACACCATCATTAACTTTGCTGACAACACAACGGTGGTAGGCCTGATCACCGACAGCGATGAGACAGCCTAGTCCCACTAAGCCCAAACCAGATGGGTTGGCGTATCGCTGCAGAATGCTGTGGTAGCCATGCTGGTTAAGTGTGCCTTGAATACTAAAAATATCATAGACAGTGTCACCAGAAAAGCACCCCCACACCATATTATTTGGGCTGCAATTTATGAGGCTGGTAACTCTAATTAACTTATCCTCTGCAGCAGAGGTAACTCTGGGTCTTCCATTCCTGTGGCGGTCCTTCTTTGCGAGGCATTGGAAAATCTCCCTGGTCTTTGTGGTTGAATCTGTGTTTGAAATTCACTGCTTGACTGATGGACCTTACAATTATATGTATGTGTGGGGTACAGAGTTCAGGTAGTTATTCAAAAATCATGTTAAAAACTATTATTGCACACAGAGTGAGTCCATGCAACTTATGTGCCTTGTTAAGCACATATTTACTCCTGCACTTATTTAGGCTTGGCATAACAAAGGGTTTGAATACTTATTGAATTCAGCTTTTCATTTTATTATATTGTAAATATTTCAAAAAACATAATTCCACTTTGACATTATGGGGTATTGTGTGTAGACCAGTGACAAAAAAAAATCTACATTTTATCAATTTTAAATTAAGGCTGTAACACAAAAAAATATGGAAAAAGTCAAGGGGTGTGAATACTGTAGGCACTGTATTTAATCTATTTTAACAGTTGTGAAAAATGCCTATTCTCAAGGTCTTTCAGCTACAGTGGGGAAAAAAAGTATTTAGTCAGCCACCAATTGTGCAAGTTCTCCCACTTAAAAAGATGAGAGAGGCCTGTAATGTTCATCATAGGTACACGTCAACTATGACAGACAAATTGAGAGAGAGAAAATCCAGAAAATCACATTGTAGGATTTTTAATGAATTTATTTGCAAATTATGGTGGAAAATAAGTATTTGGTCACCTACAAACAAGCAAGATTTCTGGCTCTCACAGATCTGTAACTTCTTCTTTAAGAGGCTCCTCTGTCCTCCACTCGTTACCTGTATTAATGGCACCTGTTTGAACTTGTTATCAGTATAAAAGACACCTGTCCACAACCTCAAACAGTCACACTCCAAACTCCACTATGGCCAAGACCAAAGAGCTGTCAAAGGACACCAGAAACAAAATTGTAGACCTGCACCAGGCTGGGAAGACTGAATCTGCAATAGGTAAGCAGCTTGGTTTGAAGAAATCAACTGTGGGAGCAATTATTAGGAAATGGAAGACATACAAGACCACTGATAATCTCCCTCGATCTGGGGCTCCACGCAAGATCTCACCCCGTGGGGTCAAAATGATCACAAGAACAGTGAGCAAAAATCCCAGAACCACACGGGGGGACCTAGTGAATGACCTGCAGAGAGCTGGGACCAAAGTAACAAAGCCTACCATCAGTAACACACTACGCCGCCAGGGACTCAAATCCTGCAGTGCCAGACGTGTCCCCCTGCTTAAGCCAGTACATGTCCAGGCCCGTCTGAAGTTTGCTAGAGTGCATTTGGATGATCCAGAAGAGGATTGGGAGAATGTCATATGGTCAGATGAAACCAAAATAGAACTTTTTGGTAAAAACTCAACTCGTCGTGTTTGGAGGACAAAGAATGCTGAGTTGCATCCAAAGAACACCATACCTACTGTGAAGCATGGGGGTGGAAACATCATGCTTTGGGGCTGTTTTTCTGCAAAGGGACCAGGACGACTGATCCGTGTAAAGGAAAGAATGAATGGGGCCATGTATCGTGAGATTTTGAGTGAAAACCTCCTTCCATCAGCAAGGGCATTGAAGATGAAACGTGGCTGGGTCTTTCAGCATGACAATGATCCCAAACACACCGATACATGACAATGATCCAAAACACATTTCAAGATCCTGGAGTGGCCTAGCCAACCCCATAGAACATTTTTGGAGGGAGTTGAAAGTCCGTGTTGCCCAGCGACAGCCCCAAAACATCACTGCTCTAGAGGAGATCTGCATGGAGGAATGGGCCAAAATACCAGCAACAGTGTGTGAAAACCTTGTGAAGACTTACAGAAAACGTTTGACCTGTGTCATTGCCAACAAAGGGTATATAACAAAGTATTGAGAAACTTTTGTTATTGACCAAATACTTATTTTCCACCATAATTTCCAAATAAATTCATTAAAAATCCTACAATGTGATTTTCTGGATTTTTTTTTCTCATTTTGTCTGTCATAGTTGACGTGTACCTATGATGAAAATTACAGGCCTCTCATCTTTTTAAGTGGGAGAACTTGCACAATTGGTGGCTGATTAAAAACTTTTTTCCCCACTGTAATTGGTTCTCTAAAGCATCCTGGTATACTTGTTAGTGTCTAACTCTTGCTCAGTTTAATTGATGCCCAGCAGACACAGGGAGTTCCCAGGACCTGCTTTCCTATTAGAATTGAAGTGGTTAAACAAGCCAATGCCCCATAATTTTTCCTCTGTCCACAGTTCCTGTTTTTCAGTTATTTCACCATGTCATGGAACACTCACACATCCTTCAATTCTAGTAAAGGAAGCCATTCAGCAAAAAAATGCAAGCTCAGCCCCGGTCAAAAGTGTTACTGCAGGAACTCCCAGCTGTCAAGCTTTTGTCACAGTGGCGGGTGGTGTTATAAACAGGTATATCACTACATTTGTCAAACTGCATCCATTTTGGATTGTAACTGTTTATTATTAACCTGTTTACTTAAATTCAGTGTGCAGAAAATAAACAAACAGGCAAACATGCTCACAATACATGCTATTCAGTTGTGGTGCACTACAAGCCTACTAGCAAATAGAAGTACAGTGGACTCTTGCTCCTCTACTAAGCACAATATGTAGAAATCGCTCCGCCATTGCCTGGTTGCTAAAATTCTACAATTTCAGTTTATATGACAAAACAAGCAATGTTTAGTGTAGAGAATCATTGTACCATCTAAACCGCTGAAAATCATATTTCCATATAGACCTATTCCATGGACTATCAATTTTCCAAAACACAAAATCACAGCACAAAATAAAACTTCTTCAAATTAGAGAGTGAAATAATGAGTTTACATTTCATCTCACCAGGAAAACCCACCACACCCTACAGATAACAGCAATATATGCCATTTCAATTAAACAGTTTCCTGCCAAAAATATTCTCACTCTTCTTTTATAGTATACAAAGAAACAAAACTAACTAATAAATATACCTCTTGAGTTTGAAAAACATGAATTTTGTACAAGAGATTAGTGCAATTATCTTGCATTATCATACCCACAAAACTAAGGACCTGATACTCAATTGTTTATGCATTTGTTGTAATTAGAGACTTGGTAAACAAATTATGTAAAGCTTGAAATCATGTTTAAAATATTTGTGTTACTCTCATAGATGAATCGTTCCTTGAGCACTACATTATATAAATAATTATTGGGAAAATGGCATGGTATGCATTTGCTTAATTGTTGACATTTTTATTGTTGGCCCACTCTTTGATATACACTCCTTACAGAGTGTGATTTATTTGATAACAAAAAATGCATAATGGTACAGCCAATAACTAAAAATACTCTACATATTACATACCATCAAGAATAGCACAATCTTATCCTTTAGGCAAGAATTTGCAGGAATTGCAAAATACTTCATATGAAGTGTTACAAATTCACTACAGTTACATATTTAACAATAACGATAGGACCTCAGTGAAACTAACACATCAAGAATAGAGGTTGTTGGGAATATTTAAATCCTTACCTTTTAATATAATCTTGCATCAAACCTTTGTGGAAAATACAGTGCAATAACATTTATTTTCTAACCATTAAGCCAGATACTATATATGTATGCAGTGTTTTTAGCGTATAAAAGCAGTATTTTTGTTTGTTTGTAGTGTACAGAAGTTTAATTTAATAAATATCCCAGTTGGGTATTGCCTGTTGGGTTCACCAGTTAGTCCATAACTCTGTGGTACTGTATTAAAAGTGCATGGTGCAATACATGCATACATATACACAGTTAAAGTTTACATACACTTAGGTTGGAGTCATTAAAACTATTTTTTTCAACCACTCCACAAATTTCTTGTTAACAAACTATTGTTTTGTCAAGTCAGTTAGGACATCTACTTTGTGCATGACACAAGTAATTTTTCCAACAATTGTTTACAGACAGTTTATTTCACTTATAATTCACTGTATCACAATTCCAGTGGGTCAGAAGTTTACATACACTAAGTTGACTGTGCCTTTAAACAGCTTGGAAAATTCCAGAAAATGATGTCATGGCTTTAGAAGCTTCTGATAGGCTAATTGACATAATTTGAGTCAATTGGAGTTGTACTTGTGGATGTATTTCAAGGCCTACCTTCAAACTCAGTGCCTCTTTGCTTGACGTCATGGGAAAATCAAAAGAAATCAGCCAAGACCTCAGAAAAAACATTGTAGACCTCCACAAGTCTGGTTCATCCTTGGGGGCAATTTCCAAATGCCTGAAGGTACCACGTTCATCTGTACAAACAATAGTACGCAATTATAAACACCATGGGAACACGCAGCCATCATACCGCTCAGGAAGGAGACACGTTGTGTCTCCTAGAGATGAACGCACTTTGGTGCGAAAAGTGCAAATCAATCCCAGAACAACAGCAAAGGACCTTGTAAAGATGCTGGAGGAAACAGGTTCAAAAGTATCTATATCCACAGTAAAACGAGTCCTATATCGACATAACCTGAAAGGCCTCTCAGCAAGGAAGAAGCCACTGCTCCAAAACCGCCATAAAAAAAAACAGATTACGGTTTGCAACTGCAAATGGGGACAAAGATTGTACTTTTTGGAGAAATGTCCTCTGGTCTGATGAAACAAAAATAGAACGGTTTGGCCATAATGACCATCATTATGTTTGGAGGAAAATTGGGGTTGCTTGCAAGCCGAAGAACACCATCCCAACCGTGAAGCACAGGGGTGGCAGCATCATGCTGTGGGGGTGCTTTGCTGCAGGAGGGACAGGTGCACTTCACAAAATAGATGGCATCATGAGGAAGGAAAATTATGTGGATATATTGAAGCAACATCTCAAGACATCAGTCAGAAAGTTAAATCCTGGTCACAAATGGGTCTTCCAAATGTACAATACATTTTACATTTACATTTTAGTCATTTAGCAGACGCTCTTATCCAGAGCGACTTACAGTTAGTGAGTGCATACATCATTTTTTTTTTATACTGGCCCCCCATGGGAATCGAACCCACAACCCTGGCGTTGCAAACGCCATGCTCTACCAACTGAGCTACATCCCTGCCAACCATTCCCTCCCTTACCCTGGACGACGCTGGGCCAATTGTGCGCCGCCCCATGCGTCTCCCGGTCGCGGTTGGCTACGACAGAGCCTGGATTCGAACCAGGATCTCTAGTGGCACAGCTAGCACTGCGACGCAGTGCCTTAGACCACTGCGCCACTCGGGAGAATAATGACCCCAAGCATACTTCCAAAGTTGTGCCAAAATGGCTTAAGGACAACAAAGTCAAGGTATTGGAGTGGCCATCACAAAGCCCTGACCTCAACCTATAGAACATTTGTGGGCAGAACTGAAAAAGCGTGTGCGAGCAAGGAGGCCTACAAACCTGACTCAGTTACAACAGCTCTGTCAGGAGGAATGGGCCAAAATTCACCCAACTTATTGTGGGAAGCTTGTGGAAGGCTACCTGAAACTTTTGACCCAAGTTAAACAATTTAAAGGCAATGCTACCAAATACTAATTGAGTGTATGTAAACTTCTGACCCACTGGGAATGTGATGAAATAAATAAAAGCTGAAATAAATAATTCTCCCTACTATTATTCTGACATTTCACATTCTTAAAATAAAGTGGTGATCCTAACTGACCTAAGACAGGGAGTTTGTACTAGGATTAAATGTCAGGAAATGTGAAAAACAGAGTTTAAATATATTTAGCTAAGGTGTATGTAAACTTCCGACTTCATCTGTATACACACACACACACACACACACACACACACACACACACACACACTGTACAATGCATAAATAAAATTGTCATATACAATACACATAAAAAGTGGATACGCATGGATACACGTCACAATGTTTACTTTTTGACGTTCTATGTCATCTCCACTTTCCAAGTGTTTTCTTAGAAATGCTGTTGATATGCCATAAGCATATGTTTAATTCATCATCAGCCACTTTCTAACTTTCTTAAAAAGTCCTGGCCTGGATTGATTTACAGTTTTTTTCAATCACTTTTGCGCATTTTTCAGATGCAGGTGGTATATTTTCAAAACACTAAGGCTGTGTTTACACAGCCACCCTAACAACCGTATTCTGATTATTTTGTTCACATCCAATCTTTTTTTCTGACAGTTTTATATGTGACACATATCAGATTTGCTAATTCACACTGATGTAGCCTCTAAAGTAACACACAGATGCAATGCTCATTTCCTGTCACTGTTTCTTTAAAAGTTGGGGTAGTTGTAGTGGTAAAAAAAAACACTTCAGAACAAAAGTATATTTTGACCAATAATTGGGCAAAAGATCAGCATTGGGCTGCCGGTATAAACGTCCAGGCTGGGGACTGAATTGTATCAGTACTAAGATCCACATATAGATGTGATATAAATCTGAACTAAAAGATCAGATTCCATGTGTTTTTTTGCTGTTTACACATTTGGGAAAAGATATGCCAATTAATTCTCAAAAGATCTGGATTTGGCTTCCTGTCAAAACGCATCCAAAGTACAAAACTCTAAACTGATAACACTTGTAATGCTCTCTATCTTACTGTATGTTCCAAACGTTTTATTGTGCATTCATTGGAGTTGAACACATCTTTCACCCCTGAGTCATTCATGCAAAATCAAAGTTTCTCATGAAATACCATGAGAACATTTGGTTTAGTCACCAATACATGAGATAATGATAGGCCCCACATTTAGTCATTTTAACTAACATTTATCCAATAGTAAAAAATACATGATACAATTTTCACAACTGTTCTTTTTGAAGTGCTGAATAGAAGGAATTATAGATGGTAAATACTGTTTTCCATACAGTATTATAAAAAGTATTACATACTGTACATAGAGGAAATAATCAGATATAGGGTTAGAATGTATTGTTAAGCAGTAGCCTACAGTCAAAAGATATTGGTGGAGCACAATGTGTTTATGCCATTTCTGCCCCATGCAACATTGTACAAGATCACCTTTTCTATGTGACTTGTCAACTGATACAGTATCAGTTGACAAGTATTGTCTGCTTGACAAAATTCATCAGCTTACAGTCTAGAAATTCAGTTAATGAGTGGAATATATTGTTATATACGACCCAGGTATTTCAGCAGTCCATTGCACACTGCCCTATAATTCCAAATGGTAGCACATAGAGTAAATATTTGCACTTTGTCTTATTGAAGTACACTGGCTGATGGAGTATGATGATGAAGCATTTACAGCCACATCGATAAATTATTTGGTTTTACCTTCCAACGTAAATTGATGTCAATGATACATTTATGATGTATAAATATAGAATTTTCAGTGTTGATCAGTTAGTATTCACACTGTTGTGTTCAGTAATATGGTGTCGTACCTCAGTTGAGTATTGAATACTGTTGCTTCAAGAATGTATCAGACACATTGTGCGTGAACGGAGGTGTGAGGATTGGATGAGTGAGTTTGTACGAGTTGTTAACATGTTGATCTGAAGTAAAGACGTTAAGTTTAATTGCACAACAAGCCTCTGTGCATTTGTAACACATACCCCTTGACTTTTTCTAAATTTTATTGTGTTACACCTGAATTTAAAATGGATTCAAATGAGATTTTTGCCTACACACAATACCCCATAATGTGGAATTATATTTTTCAAATCTTTTATAAATTAATGACAAATTAACAGCTGAAATGTCTTGAGTCAATAAGTATTCAACGTCATTGTTATGGCAAGCCTAAATAAGTTCAGGAGTAAATATTTGCTTAACAAGTCACATAAGTTGCATGGACTCCGTGTGCAATAATAGTGTTAACATGATTTTTGAATGACTACCTCATCTCTGTACCCTACACATACAATTTTCTGTAAGGTCCCTCAGTTGAGCAGTGAATTTCAAACACAGACTCAACCACAAAGACCAGGGAGGTTTTCCAATGCCTCGCAAAGAAGGGCATCTATTGGTAGATCGGTAAAAAGAAAAGCAGACATTGAATATACCTTTACATTTTTACATTTACATTTTTGTCATTTAGCAGACGCTCTTATCCAGAGCGACTTACAGCATGGTGAGGTTATTAATTACACTTTGGATAGTGTATCAATACACCCAGTCACTAGAAAGATACAGGAGTCCTTCCTAACTCAGTTGCCGGAGAGGAAGGAAACCGCTTAGGGATTTCACCATGAGGCCAATGGTGACTTTAAAACAGTTACAGAGTTTATTGGCTGTGATAGGAGAAAACGGAAGATGGATTAACAACATTGTAGTTACTCGACATTACTAACATAAATGGGAGAGTGAAAAGAAGGAAGCCTGTACAGAATAACAATATTCTAAAACTTGCATCCTGTTTGCAGTAAGGAACCAAAGTAAAACTGAAAGAAATGTGGCAAAGAATAAAAAGCGTTATGTTTGGGACAAATCCAACACAACACAACACATCACTGAGTACCACTCTTCATATTTTCAAGCATGGTGGTGGCTGCATCATGTTATGGGTATGCTAGTCATCGACAAGGACAAGGGAGTTTTTTAGGATAAAAAGAAACAGAATAGACCTAAGCACAGGAAAAATCCTAGAGGAAAATCTGGTTCAGTCTGCTTTACAAAAGACACTGGGAGACAAATTCACCTTTCAGCAGGACAATGACCTAAAACACAAGTCCAAATATACAATGGAGTTGCTTACCAAGACGACATTATATGTTCCTGAGTGGCCTAGTTACTGTTTTGTACTGACTTAAATCCGCTTGAAAATATATGGCAAGACTTGAAAATGGCTGTCTAGCAATGATCAACAACCAACTTGACAGAGCTGACTTACCCTGAAAGGTGATTCTAACATGTAATGACACAGGTGTGAATACTTATGTAAATGAGATGTTTCTGTATTTCATATTTATTTATTTATTATAAAAACATGTTTCACTTTGTCATTATGGGGTATTTTGTGTAGATGGGTGAGAAAAAAATAAATGTCATCCATTTTTAATTCAGGCTGTAACACAACAAAAATGTTGAATAAGTCAATGGGTATGAATACTTTCTGAAGGCACTGTACTTAAACTACCCACTGGGCACACCACATCATTTCAACATGGATAATTGGGTAATATTTGGTTTTATAAAGTTAGTTGAATTTCCAATGTGTTATCACTATGGTTTCAACCATCTAAAAGCACAACCAAATTCCAATGGAAAAACAGTGTTAGATGTTTGGTGTAGTTGTCACCCAAATGTGTATCACTGCGTTTTCAACCACTTAAAAGCACATAAAAGTTAAAATGGGAATACAATGTCAGATATTTAGTTTGTTTATACAACAGATTAATGTGTTATCACTGTGCTTCATCTAATAGCAGAACCAAATGACCTGGAATGCTTTTTTACATTAAAAGTACATGGTGCAAGTCATCAATGCCGTTCAAGATTCTGCGATTATTATTACAGTAATTGTGAATATCTCCACAGACCCTATACATGTTATCTTGAACATGCCTGAATCGCAGTCGGCGTTCCATTTCATCCCAAAGGTGTTCGATAGGGTTGAGGTCAGTGCTCTGTGCAGGCCAGTCAAGTTCTTACACACCGATCTCGACAAACCATTTCTGTATGGACCTCGCTTTCCGCATGGTTGCATTGTCATGCTGAAACTCGGTAGTGAGTGTTGCAACAGATGATTTTTACGCGCTTCAGCACTCGGCAGTCCTGTTCTGTGAGCTTGTGTGGCCTACCACTTCACGGCTGAGCTGTTGTTGCTCCTAGACGTTTCCACTTCACAATAACAGCACTTACAGTTGCCAGGGAAGCTCTAGCAGGGCAGACATTTTACAAACTGACTTGTTGGAAAGGTGGCATCCTATGACGGTGCCATGTTGAAAGTCATTGAGCCCATTCTACTGCCAGTGTTTGTCTATGGAGATTGCATGGCTGTGTGCTCGATTTTATACACCTGTCAGCAACGGGTGTGGCTGAAATAGCCGAATCCACTCATTTGTGTGTCCACATACCTTTGGCGATGTCAGAGAAAAAAAAAGTACATTTAAGATGAATATTTTGTAAATCATAAAGTTCTATCTGCGCAAACACCTTTTAACTTGGTGCTATAAGGTTCCATCTGCAATCCAATCAAACAATGCTGGGTTGTCAATTAAAAATATTTGTATGTAAGCTGATATACTTATTGAGTCATGAAAGAGGAAGACATCACAAAACAGTTCTGAGATCTGGGACTTGAAAAGTACTAATTATTTCAAAACTATATATTTTGCTGATAGAACCTTATAGTCCCAAGTCCTTTATTCATATAATAGGTTCTGGTCCTCTTTTTAAAGTATATATTTTTTAAATCACTACTTTTTCAGAAGAATGGCCATAACATAAGCTCTTTATGGTAAAATAAATAAATGCAGGTGCCTTAGAGCATGTTTAAGGCTCTTAGGAGAGGCATAAGTGTTTTTGTCTTGGTCTATATCGATACGAAAACCTCTGTGGAAGGGGTATTTCACTAAAATTACAAACTTACCACATTTTATTGATAACTAGCAAGTACTGTAGTTTACTGACTTTGGGTGTCAGAGACCAGAAAATATATCAGTTTACTCATCCAGAGCTAAGCTTTTAAACTTCAATAGGTTATCAATAGGATATAGTGTATTTGTCATTTCAGGGAACTATAGCTTTAACAAATGTGTGGTGCACATGAATTAATATATTTAATTATGTGATTAGAAAGTAGGAAGGGTATTATCTTTATTTGTGACTTGTTTCAGGAAACTAGGCGTATGTCACTACTTCAAAGGAGCGCCATTTGAACGTAAACTTTTTTAAAAAATCAAAATGCATTTTTTGGCAGAAATTCCTTCTGGAACATGTGAACTTTCATGTGCCTTAATAACCAACTTTTATGCCATCTGTAAATACGAATATAATTGTTAAATTACGAGCCTAGTTGGTTTAGCTACGGAAAAAGACAGCAACCTTCCCGCTAGCCATGATTGGCTGAGATAATGAGTGGACTGGACATACCGAGAGATGAGTTCGGTTTGGTCTGCCATGTAGCACGCTTCTGTCTATAACATGAGCTGGTCAGTATGTGTAGGTAATCCTTTCTAAAGATATCACGTAATAGAACTGCATAAGTGTTGCTCTCCACTTTCTGGAGGACCGAGTTTTGAAATCAGTGGAATTAGAGTATGACAGCTAAGGAGATGGAGAAATTCTGGCATTTAGAGTGTAAATATGCAGACGGACTCGAAAAGAGAACACACAGAAGGCTATTGTATAAAACACCTGTCTCCGGATTACATCTTCAAACTAAGGGCAACCATGGCATCCGTGACAGAGCGGGAGAAGCGTTCATCCATGTATACGGGTAAGATAGTCTAGCTAACTACATTTTCAGATATTACACGTTTCTAATTTTGTCAGAAAGACATTCAATTCTATGGCAACAGCTCAGGTGGACATTCCTGCATTCAGCATGCCAATTTCATGCTCCGTCAAAACTTGAGACATCTGTGGCATTGTGTTGTGTGACAAAACTGCACATTTTGAGTGGCCTTTTATTGTCCCCAGCACAAGGTGCACCTGTCAAATCAAATCAAATCGTATTGGTCACATACACATATTTAGCAGATGTCATTGCGGGTGTAGCGAAATGCTTGTGTTCCTAGCTCCAACAGTGCAGTAGTATCTAACAATTCACAACAATACACACAAATCAAAAAATAAAAGAATGGAATTAAGAAATATATAAATATTACGACGAGCAATGTCAGATGGCATTGACTAAATTACAGTAGAATACAGTATATACAGTTGAAGTCGGAAGTTTACATACACCTTAGCCAAATACGTTTAAACTCAGTTTTTCAGAATTCCTGACTTTTAATCGTAGTAAAAATCCCCTGTCTTAAGTCAGTTAGGATCACCACTTTATTTTAAGAGTGTGAAATGTCAGTATAATAGTAGAGAGTGATTTATTTAAGCTTTTATTTCTTTCATCACATTCCCAGTGGGTCAGAAGTTTACATACACTCAATTCCTCCTGACAGAGCTGGTATAACTGAGTTAGGTTTGTAGGCCTCCTTGCTCGCACACGCTTTAATAGTTCTGCCCACAAATGTTCTATAGGATTGAGGTCAGGGCTTTGTGATGGCCACTCCAATACCTTGACTTTGTTGTCCTTAAGCCATTTTGCCACAACTTTGGAAGTATGCTTGGGGTCATTGTCCATTTGGAAGACCCATTTGTGACCAAGCTTTAACTTCCTGACTGATGTCTTGAGATGTTGCTTCAATATATCCATATAATTTTCCTTCCTCATGATGCCATCTATTTTGTGAAGTGCACCAGTCCCTCCTGCAGCAATGCACCCCCACAGCATGATGCTGCCACCCCGGTGCTTCACGGTTGGGATGGGGTTCTTCGGCTTGCAAGCGTTCCCCTTTTTCCTCCAAACATAACGATGGTCATTATGGCCAAACAGTTCTATTTTTGTTTCATCAAAGCAGAGGACATTTCTCCAAAAAGTACAATCTTTGTCCCCATGTGCAGTTGCAAACCGTAGTCTGGCTTTTTTATGGCGGTTTTGGAGCAATTGCTTCTTCCTTGCTGAGCGGCCTTTCAGGTTATGTCGATATAGGACTAGTTTTACTGTGGATATAGATACTTTTTTACCTGTTTCATTCAGCATCTTCACAAGTTCCTTTGCTGTTGTTCAAAGTACATTCATCTCTAGGAGACAGAACTCCTTCCTGAGCGGTATGACAGCTGCGTGGTCCCATGGTGTTTATACTTCCGTACTATTGTTTGTACAGATGAACGTGGTACCTTCAGGCGTTTGGAAATTGCTCCCAAGGATGAACCAGACTTGTGGAGGTCTACAATTTTTTTTCTGAGGTCTTGGCTGATTTCTTTTGATTTTCCCATGATGTCAAGCAAAGAGGCACTGAGTTTGAAGGTAGGCCTTGAAATACATCCACAGGTACACTTCCAAATGACTAAAATGATGTCAATTAGCCTATCATAAGCTTCTAAAGCCATGACATCATTTTCTGGAATTTTCCAAGCTGTTTAAAGGCACAGTCAACTTGGTGTATGTAAACTTCTGACCCACTGGAATTGAGATACAGTGAATTATAAGTGAAATAATCTGTCTGTAAACAATTGTTGGAAAAATTCCTTGTGTCATGCACAAAGTAGATGTCCTAACCGACTTGCCAAAACCGTAGTTTGTTAACATGAAATTTGTGGAGTGGTTGAAAAACGAGTTTTAATGACTCCAACCTAAGTGTATGTAAACTTCCGACTTCAACTGTACATATGAGATGAGTAAAGCGTTATTAAAGTGACTAGTGTTCCATTATTAAAATGATCAGTGATTCCATGTCTATGTATTTGGTGCAGCAGCCTCTAAGGTGCAGGGTTGAGTAACCAGGTGGTAGCTGGCTAGTGATGGCTATTTAACAGTCTGATGGCCTTGAGATAGAAGCAGTTTTTTCAGTTTCTCGGTCCCAGCTTTGTTGCAGCTGTACTGACCTCACCTTCTGGATGGTAGCGGGGTGAACAGGCCGTGGCTCGGGTGGTTGATGTCCTTGATGATGTTTTTGGCCGTCCTGTGACATTGGGTGCTGTAGGTGTCCTGGAGGGTAGGCAGTATGCCCCCGGTGATGTGTTGGGCAGACCACACCACCCTCTGGAGAGCCCTGCGGTTGCGGATTGTGCAGTTGCCGTACCAAGCGGTGATACAGCCGACAATTGTGCATCTGTAAAAGTTTGTGAGGGTCTTAGGGGCCAAGCTGAATTTCTTCAGCCTCCTGAGGTTGAAGAGGCGCTGTTGCACCTTCTTCACCACACTGTCTCTGTGGGTGGACCATTTCAGATTGTCAGTGATGTGTACGCCGAGGAACTTGAAGCTTTTCACCTTCTCCACTGCAGTCCCGTTGATGTGGATAGGGGGGTGCTGCCTCTGCTGTTTCCTGAAGTCCACGATCAGCTGTGTAATGATCATGCTGTTTAATCAGCTTCTTGATATGCCACACCTGTCAGGTGGATGGATTATCTTGGCAAATGAGAAATACTCACTAACAGGGATGTAAACAAATTTGTGCACAACATTTGTGAGATAAATAAGCTTTTTGTGAATATGGAACATTTCTGGGATTTTTTATTTCAGCTCATGAAACATGGGACCAACACTTTACATGTTTGGTTTATGTTTTTGTTCCGTATAGTTTACTAGCTTGCTAGCATCTCTGGCACTAGAGTAGAAAGCACTAGCTAACGCTAGCTAGCAAGTGCAGATGCTGTTGAAAATAGCTAATAGCTATCATTATAAAACTTATTTTACCCGATCCCATTACATTTAAGCACTCACCAAAATGTATATAATTCCTTCGAAAACAGTAAATGGCTACAACAGGCCGGAACCTCTCTAGCCCGTTTTGTTCTCTAGGCTAAAACGACCTGTCCTGTCTCTTGGGTTTCAGTGTACGCAGACAAGAACATGAATTTGCTCATTGATCAGGATCAAAACAAACCCCTCAAGTTGCCCCTGAACCAACTAGCTGGGGATCATACAGTAGAGAGCAAACCCTCTTTCTTACTGACTTAATGCAATAGAATTTGGAAGCAGGTGGCAGAGGTTTGCCAAAAAGCCTTGCAGAACTGAATGCCAGGGCGAAGGCAGTGAAGGGGAAAAATTATACTTCGGCTGGACCTGACAGCCAAGCTGTCCATCCAATTCAAAGATCCAGACAAAGTAGCCAGAAAATGGTCCACCCTTGAGAATGCTTATAAAAATATAAAATACAACAATAGTACAACAGGGAGAGGCACAATCCGTTTTCAGTATTTTAATGAAATAGAACTTCTCTTGACATAGATTATCCAGTTATGGGCACAGTAGAAGGCGTGGAGATCAAGAGACTTGAAGCTTTGGGACTTAATGGCCACGAAGTGCCCACCAATGAGGCCAACCACGCAGTCCAGTCTACCGACCCCTCGAAGGCGGAGGGGAAGAGCAGAAGATGACCCTCTCCCTGGGTTCTTGAGGGATTCTGAAGCCGCCAGCCAGACCAGACATCAAGAGATGCTTGGCCAGATGAGATGCTCACAGCAGTCTTTTTTACAACATGATGGCCTCCTTCCTTGAGAAGTTTTACAACGTAAGAGGGAGGTGGAGCGTCTCCTGAGTGGCGCAGTGGTCTAAGGCACTGCATCGCAGTGCTAACTGTGCCACTAGAGATCCTGGTTAGAATCCAGGCTCTGTCGCAGCCGGCCGCGACCGGGAGACTAATGGGCGGCGCACAATTCGCCCAGCGTCATCCAGGGTAGGGGAGGGAATGGCCGGCAGGGATGTAGCTCAGTTGATAGAGCATGGCGTTTGCAACGCCAGGGTTGTGGGTTCGATTCCCACAGGGGGCCAGTATAAAAAATATATATATATGTATTCACTAACTGTAAGTCGCTCTGGATAAGAGCGTCTGCTAAATGACTAAAATGTAAATGTGATATTTTTTTTATAGTTTAAGTTGAGGCTATACAGTGTTTGTTTACATTTGTTGTTTACAAACATTGGAGTAAAACAAGCATATATGTTGGGTTCAACAGCAACCCTGGAGCAATTAGGTTTAAGTGCCTTGCTCAAGGGCACAGACAGATTTTTCATCTTGTCGGCTAGGGGAACTAACCTTTTGGTTACTAGAGCAACGCTCTAACCGCTAGGCTACCTTGCGTCCTATTACGAATCTACTAGTGCAAACCTCAATAACCAGTCAAAATTATGGAAAACCAAGTCCATTAATGCTAACACAAATTCCACTGGTATTCTGCTGAAATGTACCTAGAATTCAATTGACATGACAGACAAGAATAAACTGCTTGCCATGTTTAATGAGCATTTTGCTAAGGCTGGGCATTTATTTGATAATGAAACCCATCCTAATATCTCAAATTAGCCTGTGCATGAAACTGCCACAAGCCAAGCCTACAGTTCATCTATTTCATTTTACAGAGATTGTACTCTCGGAAGTTGTAAAGGAACTAAAATCAATTGATATTAAGAAAGTGGCCGACCCCAGCTACGCAAGCTAAACCTGAGATGCGGCTTCATTCACCTGGCAAAACTCATCTTGACCATCCAGAATACAACACACACATTTTCCACTGCCAAGGCGGCTCAAGACTTCTTCGAGAAGCACATCAAGCATAACACACAAGGGGACTAGCCGACAGATCTAGGCTAACCCCAATTTGACTGGCTCAATATTCAGGTATGCTATCCATGCACAATCATGGCTATGGCTGTGATGCTGCCCTCAGCATAAGACAATGATGAGGACACCCCCTCAATTGGGTAAAAGGAACCCTATCATTATTATTATTATTGCTGAACATTGGACTTCATTATTATTATATTGCCTATGGTCCAGGATATTTAGACAATGATGACTCCCCGCCAATTAATGAACAATGGACAATATATTGAAGTGTCATACAGACTGTCGTTGCTTCCTTGTGGGGCTACAACGCATTGCATCCCTATGGGCTAAACTGTTTAGGATAGATAGCCAGTCCAATATAGGCTACCACACAATTCCTTTTTTCTTTTTCTATCCCTCTGTTTACGCTGCTGAATTTATTTCTCAGGGAGGACTTGGCTTACTGTGAAGATCTAGATTATAGACTGCATTTCTTGCACATACCCTGGGGGGAATGGTTCACATGGGGGGGAAGACCAATGGGTGGGTTTCCCTGTGGGTCCTGCTTTTTGTTTCACATTCATGGGCTTATTAACACTAAAGATAACAATTACACCATTAATAATACATTATTTTTAAAAATTATGGCAACGCTATCTATTCTCTAAAGAAATTCGAAAATTAAAAATGTCAGCTGTCTTGAACTGTATTGAAAATTAAATACAGAAATATCTCATTTACATTAGTATTCACACCCCTGAATCAATACTTTGTAGAAGCATCTTTGGCGGCGATTACAGCTTTGAGTAGTCTGGGGTATGTCTGTATCAACTTTGCACATCTGGATTTGGGGATTTTCTCCCAATCTTTCTCAAGCTCTGTTAAATTAGATCTGGTGCGGCGGTGAACAGCAGTCTTCAAGTCTTTTCACAGATTTTCAATGAGATTCAAGTCTGCGCTTTGGCTGGGCCACTCAAGGACTTTCACATTCTTGTTCTGAAGCCATTCCAGCCGTGCTTCGGCTGTGTGCTTGGGATCGTTGTCCTGTTGGAATGTAAATCTTCGCCCCAGTCTAAGGTCGTTTGCACTCTGAAGCAGGTTCTCATCAAGGATTTGCTTGTATTTGCCTCCATTCATTGTTCCCTCTATCCTTACCAGTCTCCCAGTCCCTACTGCTGAAAAGCATCCCCATAGCATGATGCTGCCACCACCATGCTTCACGGTAGGGATGGTGTTAGACGGGTGATGAGCTGTACCTGTTTTTCTCCATGCATAGCGTTTTGCATTCAGGCCAAAGAGTAAAATGTTTGTCTCATCAGACCACAATCTTTTGCCTTATGCTCTGAGAGTCTTTCCATGCCTTTTTGCAAACTCCAGGCGTGCTGTCATGTGCCTTTTTCTCTGTAGAGACTGTTGTCCTTCTGGAAGGTTCTCCCATCTCAGCCAAGGAACTCTGTAGTTATGTCAGAGTGGTCATTAGGTTCTTGTTCACCTCCCTGACCTAGGTCTTTCTTGCCCGGTTGTTCAGTTTGGTTGGACGGACAGCTTTAGGCAGAGTCTGGGTAGTTCCGTATTCTTTCCATTTCCCAATGATGGGGACCACTGTCGTCTTGGAAACTGTCAACACTCTAGAAATTGTTTTATACCCTTCCCCAGATAAACAAATATATTGTTTTATGCCCTTCCCCAGACTTCATGGTATAGTTTCTGCTCTGACATGCACTGTCAACTATGACCTTATATAGACAGGTGTGTTTTTTTCTAAATCATGTCCAAACAATTGAATTGGCCACAAGTGGACTCCAATCAAGTTGTAGTGACATCTCAATGATGATCAAAGGAAATTGGATGCACCTGAGCCAAATCGGAGTGTCATAGCAAAGGGGTGTGAATACTTATATAAATCAGATATTTCTGTATTTCATTTTCAATACATTTGCTAACATTTCTAAAAACATGTTTTCACTTTGTCATTCTGGTTTATTTTGTTTAGATGGGTGAGAAAAAACATATATTTAATCAATTTTGAATTCCGTCTGTAACACAACAACATTTGGAATAAGTCAAAGGGTATGTAAGCGCTGTACATTTTTTGGCTTCTCTGAGCAGCATATTTTTTTATTAATTGAATTCCATCTGGTTATTGGGACAGACATGAGTGGCATTTTGGACATGCGGGACAAATATAATAAGACCAACTACAATCCACATGCAACCAATGCTCTCCAGCATATACTCTCTGATTACAACGTCATCCTAAAGCAAAAGAGTACACTTTCTACTCAAACAGGCATAAATCATTCTCACGAATCGATTTCATACTATTATCTACACCAAATTCAACATATGAGCTTTTCTGACCACCGGGCTTACTACTGCCAACTGCAAATTTCAGGATCTCCTAAAAGAGCCACAAGATGGCGTTTCAACGTTTCATTACTACAAAATCCTACATTCTGTGATCAATTTGAAATGGAACTAAATTAATTCATAATGATCAACAAAAATTAAGTTGATGACCCCCGGATTCAATGGTATGCCACCAAAGGTTTTATTAAAAATAATGCAACTGCATTTGCATCTGGGTTGAATAAATCACAATTAAAGAAGATATCCGATTTGGAAATGTTGTTAACTTTGTTAGAGCGTTCTTAACAAACACTCTTTTCAGACCAGGTAGCTATTACTCTTTCCAAAGTCAAGACGGAACTTAATTTATTCATAAGACAGAGAGCAGAATTTGCCATCCATCAAGTAAGACTCAACCATTACTTCCATGGTAATCGTCCCAGTCGTTTACTGGCCAACAAGCTACGGAGTAATGATCAATTAGCTGATATAGCAACTATTGAATCTGAAACAGGGGAATTACTATCAGAACCCAAATTAATCAATAAAATATTTTAGCACTTCTATAAAGAACAGTACACCTCTGATTGTAAATCCACACCAAGTCAGACTGTCCTTTTTAAAAGAATTAAGAACTCCTAGTCTCTCAACAAAGGAAGCCACCTCGCTGGGAGCCCAAATCCCTCTCAAGGTTCTTAAAGGGCATTGGATAGCATGAATAAAGGCAAATCATCTGGATGGTACGGTATTCCTCCTGAGGTTTATTTTAAAATTTGGGAATCAATTAGGGTCCACTATTGCTCGAAATGATTAATACAGCTCTTCACAAAGGTTCATTTGGGAGAGATGTGAATACAGCACAAATTTAGCTTTTATTAAAAAAAGGTAAGGATGCCACCCAGTGTTCTCACCATCGTCCCCTATTTTTGATAAACACAGATATTTTCCAAAATGTTGTCGTTCCGAGACTTACTTACCCAAATTTGTCCACACGGACCAAAGCGGTTTTGTTAAAAAGCGTTTATCCTTGGATAACCTCAGCCGAATATTACATACAGTGCACTCGGAAAGTATTCAGACCCCTTGACCTTTTCCCCAAAAAATTACGTTACAGCCTTATTCTAAAATGTATTAAATCTTTTTTTCCCCTCATCAATCTACACACAATACCCCATAATGACAAAGCGAAAACATGTTTTTGGAATTTTTTCCAAATGTATTAAAAATAAAAAACATAAATATCATATTTACATTAGTACTCAGACCCTTTGCTATGAGACTCAAAATTGAGGTCAGGTGCATCCTGTTTCCAATTATCATCCTTGAGGTGTTTCTACAACTTGATTGGAGTCACCTGTGGTAAATTCAATTGATTGGACATGATTTGGAAAGGCACACACCTGTCTATATAAGGTCCCACCGTTGACAGTGCATGTCAGAGCACAAACCAAGCCATTGGGTCGAAGGAATTGTCTGTAGAGCTCCGAGACAGGATTGTGTCGAGGCACAGATCTGGGGAAGGGTACCAAAACATTTCTGCAGCATTGAAGGTCCCCAATTAACACAGTGGCCTCCATCCTTCTTAAATGGAAGAAGTTTGGAACCACCAAGACTCTTCCTAGAGCTGGCCGCCCAGTCAAACTGAGCAATCGGGGGAGAAGGGCCTTGGTCAGGGTGGTGACCAAGAATCTGATGGTCACTCTGACAGAGCTCCAGAGTTCCTCTGTGGAGATTGGAAAATCTTCCAGAAGAAAAACCATCTCTGCAGCACTCCACCAATCAGGCCTTTATGGTAGAGTGGCCAGACGGAAGCCACTCCTCAGTAAAAAGCACATGACAGCCCGCTTGGAGTTTGCCAAAAGGAACCAAAAGGACTCTCAGACCATGAGAAACAAGATTCTCTGGTCTGATGAAACCAAGATTGAACTCTTTGGCCTGAATGCCAAGCGTCACATCTGGAGGAAACCTGGCACCATCCCTACATTGAAGCATGGTGGTGGCAGTATCATGCTGTGGGGATGTTTTTCAGCGGCAGGGACTGGGACACTAGTCAGGATCAAGGGAAAGATTAACAGAGCAAAGTACAGAGAGATCCTTGATGAAAACCTGCTCCAGAGCGCTCAAGACCTCAGACTGGGGCAAAGGTTCACCTTCCAACAGGACAACAACCCTAAGCACACAGCCAAGACAATGCAGGAGTGGCTTAAGGACAAGTCTCTGAATGTCTTTGAATGTCCAGCCAGAGCCCGGACTTGAACCCGATCGAACATCTCTGGAGAGACCTGAAAATAGCTGTGCAGCAACGCTCCCCATCCAACCTGACAGAGCTTGAGAGGATCTGCAGTGAAGAATGGGAGAAACTCCCCAAATACAGGTGTGCCAAGCTTGTAGCGTCATACCCAAGAAGACTCAAGGCTGTAATTGCTGCCAAAGGTGCATCAACAAAGTACTGAGTAAAGAGTCTGAATACTTATGTAAATGTTATATTTAAATTTTTTATTTAAAAATACATTTGCGAAAATTTATAAAAACCTGTTTTTGCTTTGTCATTATGGGCTATTGTGTGTAGATTGATGAGGAAAAAACAATTAAATCCATTTTAGAATAAGGCTGTAACGTAACAAAATGTGGAAAAAGTCAAGGGGAAGGGTACCAAATACTTTCCGAATGCACTGTGTATACACACATACATACAGTACCAGTAAAAGGTTTGGACACTCCTACTCATTCAAGGGTTTAAAAGAAAGGTGCTCAAGTTGAAGTAGAATAATAGAGAAGACATAAAAACTATGAAATAACACATATGGAATCATGTAGTAACCAAAAAAGTGTTAAACAAATCAAAATATATTTTACATTTTAGATTCTTCAAATAGCCACCCTTTGCCTTGATGACAGCTTCGCACACTCTTGGCATTCTCTCAACCAGCTTCACCTGGAAGGCTTTTCCAATAGTCTTGAAGGAGTTCCCACATATGCTGAGCACTTGTTGGCTGCTATTCCTTCACTCTGCCATCCGACTCATCCCTAACCATCTCAATTGGGTTGAGGTCGGGTGATTGTGGAGGCCAGGTCATTTGATTCACCGCTCCATCACTCTCCTTCTTGGTAAAATAGCCCTCACATAGCCTGGAGGTGTGTTGGGTCATTGTCCTGTTGAAAAACAAATGATAGTCTCACTAAGCCCAAACCAGATGGGATGGCGTATCACTGCAGAATGCTGTGGTAGCCATGCTGGTTAAGTGTGCCTTGAAATCTAAATAAATCACAGACTGAGTCACCAGCAAAGCACCCCCACACAATAACACCTCCTCTCCATGCTTTACGGTGGGAACTACACATTTGGAAATCATCCGTTCACACACACCGTGTCTCACAAAGACACGGTGGTTGGAACCAAAAATCTCCAATTTGGACTCCAGACCAAAGGACACATTTCCACCGGTCCATTGCTCGTGTTTCTTGGCCCAAGCAGGTCTCTTCTTATTATTGGTGTCATTTAGTAGTGGTTTCTTTGCAGCAATTCGACCATGAAGGCCTGATTCACACAGTCCCCTCTGAACAGTTGATGTTGAGATGTGTGTGTTACTTGAACTCTGTGATGCATTTATTTGGGCTGCAATTTCTGAGGCTGGTAACTCTAATGAACTTATCCTTTGCAGCAGAGGTAACTCTGGGTCTTCCATTCCTGTTGTGGTCCTCATGAAAGCCAGTTTCATCATAGCGCTTGATGGTTTTTGTGACTGCACTTGAAGAAACTTTCAGTTCTTGAAATGTTCCGTATTGACTGACCTTCATGTCATTTTTCTTTCATGTCATTTCTCTTTGCTTATTTGAGCTGTTCTTGCCATAATATGGACTTGGTCTTTTACCAAATAGGGCTATACACAACACAACTGATTACGGCCATCTATTGTTTAATAATGCACAAATATTTGTTTCTGGAATTTGTCTTTCACTCTCCTCCAGACTCTCCTCCACCAGTCATACAAGGAGAAGGGTCTGATGCCTCCCATCAAAAAGAGAGCCAGCCCAAGCAAGCACAGGTTACACCTGAAGCATGAGGACTTGCAGCGAGTTGTGAACTTCATCAACAACTATGCAGAGGATAATGCAATAGTATTACCAGGACGCCACCCAGGACACAAACGCTTTGGTTGAAAGCTGCTGCCATCTCATGTGACAAAAGCAGCGGTGTGGCGTCTCTACAAGGAATCGATGACAACACTTGGTATGTAAAGCATAAACAACACATATTTTGATTATTTCAATTACCTCCAACGTGATTGGCACTACTTTTATTGATCTGACATTATTTATGTATTTTCAGATGTACGTGCAGTCGAGCTGTCTTCCTTCAGGAGTCTGTAGAGAAAATTGTTGCCCCACACCTCAAGCGCTAAGCCCAGGACAGACCTGTGCTTGCAGTGCCAGAGGAACAACTATCAGGTATTCAGATCTGCCAATCTGCCAGAAGCTGTTAAATCAGCCAAGCTGAAGAAACAAGAGCAGCATCTCCTGCTTGTTCAGAGTGAGCGGTCTGTCTACCAGAAGATGGTTGCTGACTGCAAGACCACCTGTCAAGACCTGCAGTTGTCTCTGGGGGGCCCTACTGAACCAGCAAGCAATGACATCAGGATGCATTACAGCTTAGATTTTTCTCAACAGGTAAGCAACATTTCCTCCTTTATACTGATTGAGGACCTTATTACTGATGAATGTGTTTGTTTTTTATGACTGTGTTTATTTTTCTGCTTGCATTTTGTATTTATATTGATGTGTGTATTTTCTGTAATTTATGTAATTCAGGGCTCATCTGTAAAATTGACCTTGGTCTCAGTATGACTCCCTGATAAAATAAAGGTTATCATTTATTTGTTTTTATAAATGGGAAGCAGGCACGTGTCTTTCACTGACATGTGTAAAGACAGACTGACAGGGATTTGACAATTAATTTATATTTCTCTAATGTTCTTTTGTTGTTGTTTGCAGGTGCACTATCCTTCTGACTGTATGCAGCCAGGTCCCATCTACTTTTTAACAAGAACAAGTTTGTGCTCTGGGACCTACTTTTTAACAAGAACAAGTTTGTGCTCTGGTATTGTGCCTGACGGACCATGCACAAGCTCCACCACAGTCAGGACCTTCACTTCCTGATCACAGGCCACACCAAGTTTGCCCCTGACTGGTGCTTCAGCCTCATCAAGCAGCGCCTCAGAAAGACCACAGTGAACACTTTGTCAGAGATTGCTGGTGTGGTGAAGAACAGCACTGTGACAGGGGTTAACATCCCAGGGGTTAACACCACTATTCAATCGGGTGGTCAGGTGGGACAAAGAAAGACCTCGGAAAATTACAATTGGCTCAGAACAGTGCAGCATGGCTGGCCCTTAAATGTACACGGGAGCTAACATGAATAATATGCATGTACAGTGGGGAGAACAAGTATTTGATACACTGCCGATTTTGCAGGTTTTCCTACATACAAAGCATGTAAAGGTCTGTAATTTTTTTCATATGTACACTTCAACTGTGAGAGACGGAATCTAAAACAAAAATCCAGAAAATCACATTGTATGATTTTTAAGTAATTAATTTGCATTTTATTGCATGACATAGGAGCCACTCCTTAGTTGCCCTGGCTGTGTGTTTTGGGTCGTTGTCATGCTGGAAGACCCAGCCACGACCCATCTTCAATGCTCTTACTGAGGGAAGGAGGTTGTTGGCCAAGATCTCGCGATACATGGCCCCATCCATCCTCCCCTCAATACGGTGCAGTCGTCCTGTCCCCTTTGCAGAAAAGCATCCCCAAGGAATGATGTTTCCACCTGCATGCTTCACGGTTCGGATGGTGTTCTTGGGGTTGTACTCATCCTTCTTCTTCCTCCAAACACGGTGAGTGGAGTTTAGACCAAAAAGCTCTATTTTTGTCTCATCAGACCACATGACCTTCTCCCATTCCTCCTCTGGATCATCCAGATGGTCATTGGCAAACTTCAGACGGGCCTGGACATGCGCTGGCTTGAGCAGAGGGACCTTGCGTGCGCTGCAGAATTTTAATCTATGATGGCGTAGTGTGTTACTAATGGTTTTCTTTGAGACTGTGGTCCCAGCTCGCTTCAGGTCATTGACCAGGTCCTGCCGTGTAGTTCTGGGCTGATCCCTCACCTTCCTCATGATCATTGATGCCCCACGAGGTGAGATCTTGCATGGAGCCCCAGACCGAGGGTGATTGACCGTCATCTTGAACTTCTTCCATTTTCTAATAATTGCGCCAACAGTTGTTGCCTTCTCACCAAGCTGCTTGCCTATTGTCCTGTAGCCCATCCCATCCTTGTGCAGGTCTACAATTTTATCCCTGATGTCCTTACACAGCTCTCTGGTCTTGGCCATTGTGGAGAGGTTGGAGTCTGTTTGATTGAGTGTGTGGACAGGTGTCTTTTATACAGGTAACGAGTTCAAACAGGTGCAGTTAATACAGGTAATGAGTGGAGAACAGGAGGGCTTCTTAAAGAAAAACGAACAGGTCTGTGAGAGCCGGAATTCTTACTGGTAGGTAGGTGATGAAATACTTATGTCATGCAATAAAATGCAAATTAATTACTTAAAAATCATACAATGTGATTTTCATAATTTTTGTTTTAGATTCCGTCTCTCACAGTTGAAGTGTACCTATGATAATAATTACAGACCTCTACATGCTTTGTAAGTAGGAAAACCTGCAAAATCGGCAGTGTATCAAATACTTGTTCTCCCCACTGTAAATCTCTCATGGCTCAAAGTGGAGGAGAGATTGACTTCATCACTACTTGTTTTTGTAAGAAGTGTAGACATGCTGAATGCACTGAGGTGTCTGTTTAAACTACTAGCACACAGCTCGGACACCCATGCATCCCACCAAAGGTCTCTCCACAATCCCAGAGTCAAGAACAGACTATGGGAGGCACACAGTACTACATAGAGCCATGGCTACATGGAACTCTATTCCACATCAGGTAACTGATCCAAGCAGTAGTATCAGATTTAAAAAATAAAAAATAAAAAAGATAAAAATACACCTTATGGAACAGCGGGGACTATGAAGAGACATAGACCCACACACACATGATAAGACATGCACTCTAGACACACGTACACATGGATTTATTGTAAATATGTGATAGTGGAGTAGTGGCCTGAGGGAACACACTAAATGTATTGGGTAAAGTGTTATGAAATGTAATGTCATGTAATATTCATTACTGGGGGCGAGTTCCCGGTCATCTGGACTATCTGCAGTGCCTCTATGCACATTCACATGACTCTCTACTAACACATACACACACACACACACACACACACACACACACACACCATACTTTGCTGCTTCTATTTATTTTTTTATCCTGCTGGTCAGCCACTTTACCCCTGATTGTATGCATATAACTACCTCATCTATCACCAGTATTACTGATATCATTATTGATATTGTTATTGTACATACTGTATATTATTTTGTTCTTACTCTATTGGCATTGACCCTTTTTGTTCTTGTTTTATTATTTTTTTATTGACACTTTCTATTTTTGATATTGCTACTATGCAAATATGCAAGTAGCCATTTCACTGTACCATTTATACCTTCTGTAGTGACCCATCCAATTAGCTAGATGTGGCTGGGGGGTGGTTCTAGCATTTCTTTCACATGACCCTAGGGGGTAAGCATCATCTAATAACTATACAACATTTATAAAATATTTTTACTGGACACTTTCTATTTTTAATATTGCTACTATGCAAATATGCAATTAACCATTTCACTGTACTGTTTACACCTTCTGTATCCTGTGCATGTGACAAATAAACTTAGTTTTTTATTTATATAGTGTGTGTTTACCAGAGACGGCAATGTGAAGAACAACACGACCTGCACCAAAATCAGATTAGGATATAGGTCAAGGACTAGATAAAGTGTGTTTTTACCTGGAGTTTTTCCTTATTGTAAGCTACTACTTATTGTAATCTACTACACTACCTTACTCACTCTGTTTAGCACATGACCTCACATGTAAATCCCTAAAGAGATGGGTGGGGCTAAGGCTTTAGAGGGTTTGAACGATGCTGAATGGGTGTAGACAAAGAAGAGCTCTCCAGTAGGTATACCAAAACATTTACGGACCATTTTGCTCAAAAGTGGGGTTACAATTTGATCAACTTTCAAAACAGAATTATTTTTCCATTGTTCCTCAACTGCATTGTATGATTTTATAGCTCTGAGTCTCTACTTACATGAGACCAAATCGAGGCAGTCGGTCACATATGCATGCAGCAGCATCTACACTTAAACCACTAGATGCTGTTTTTCATTGTGCCCTTAGGTTTATTACTGGTAACCATTGTGTTTTGTATCCAAAAGTGGGTTGAGCCTTTTTGTATATAAGGAGAGAGCAGCATTTTGTTGTGTTTATCTACAAAGCACTCATGCAAAAACTTCCTATGTATCTATCATCATTAATTCAATTTAGACTTCCGAATTACCAAACACGGTCTCAGGCTTGGATAACACTGGAGGCCCCTTTGGTCTCCACAGAGTTGGGTAAAGCCGCTTTAAGTTTTTTTGCACCCTTTATGTTGAACAACTTACAAAGCTTTCTGAAATTAGATGTTCTGGTCCCCTTTGGTCAGTTCAGAGTAATGATCGGAGACCTCTACGCTGATAAAAGTTGTCTGTTTTTCTTAATATGTTTTTTTTTTAAGTATATTGTATACTGTACGTGTTGGATGTATTTATGCAGGGCTCATCTGTAAAAGAGACCCTAGTCTCAGAATTACTTCCCTATCAAAATAAAGGTTAAATAAATAATACTACACTGTACATTACTGTACTGTACCTACTGTACTGCATATTACATTACATTACTGCACTATACTGTACTTTACTGTACTGAACTGTACTGAACTATACTGTACTATACTGTACAGCACAGAACTGAACTAAACTACCATACTGTACTGTACTATACTGTACTTTACTGTACTGTGCTGAACAGTACACTACTGCACTGTACTGTCCTGCACTGAACTATACTGTACTGAACTATACTGTACTTAACTATATTCTACCGTACTGTACTGTACTTTACTGTACTGAACTAAACTGTAGTATACTGAACCATAATCAAGTTTACTCTACTGGATCTTGTTTTTCCCCCATTTAAACTGGTCTTGGTCTGGTCATGGTATCGATAAACTGGTCCTTGGTCTGGGTTTCAGAAAGTCTGGGTCTAGATCTAATAAGCTTTGGTCTTGACTTCATCGCTGGTACTCACACCAATGTTATACACTTCAGGAAATATTGTAGAGTATTGAGAGGCATGGCCAGCAGGGGGCTCTATTCCCTCCAAGAACGACTTGAATTGTCATGCCCAAACTTCATTGGGTCACAGCAGCCATAATGTTTAAGATATCAACTTAATATATAATGCATTTAAAGATCTTATTTTACAAGTCTTTAAATGTGGTTCAGGTATAACAACAACAATCTCTCACTGTCTAGGGAAGTCTTTTTGAAACCGGCTGGATTTGAACCCGGTAATGCATGCATATATTTTTTATATTAGTGTGGTCGTGAGAATCGAACCCACCATCCTGCAATGCTTTACCAACTGAGCTACAGAGGACCACCATGTGGGTAGTGGACAAGTGCACACTTCAGGAAAACATATAGGGTATTGACATGCATAGCCTGCAAGTGTCTCCAACCCTCCAAGAGCACAAACATAGAATTACAGTATATTTGGCCCAACCATAGACGTCTATAATGTACTGTATTGTACTCTACTCTACTCTAATGTGCTCTACTGTACTGTAATGTACTGTACATTACTTTGCTGTACTGAGCTATACTGTACTGAACTTTACTGTACTTTACTGTACTTTACTGTACTTTACTGTACTTTACTGTACTGTACTGAACTATACTCTACTGTACTGAACTAAACTGAACTATACTGTACTTTACTTTTCTGTACTCTACTGTAATGAACTGTACTGAACTTTACTGTACTCTACTATACTGAACTGTACTGTACAGAACTATACTCTACTCAAGTTTACTCTACTGGATCTTATTTTTACCCATTTAAACTGCTCTTGGTCTGGTCATAGTCTCGATCTACTGGCCCTTGGTCTGGGTCTTAGAAAGTCTAGTCTTGGTCTGGGTCTGGATCTAAACGGTTCCAGTCTTGACTTCATCTCTGGTACTCACACCAATTTTATAGTTTTTAATCAATGTGGGTAGTGGACCAGTGTACACTTCAGGGAACATTGTAGAGAGGCATTCCCAGAAGGAGGCTCCATTCCCTCCAAGAACGACTTGAATTGTAAGGGCCAAACTCACTCTACTTCATTGGCTCACAGCTGTAATGACGTTTAAGATACAGTACAAGACAAAAGTTTGGACACACCTACTCATTCCAGGTTTTTCTTTATTTTTAATATTTTCTACATTGTAGAATAATAGTGAAGAAATAAAAACTATAAATAACACATATGGAATCATGTAGTAACCAAAAAAGTGTTAAACAAATCAAAATATATTTCAAATAGCCACCCTTTGCCTTGATGACAGCTTTGCACACTCTTGGCATTCTCTCAACCAGCTTCATCTGGAATGCTTTTCCAATAGTCTTGAAGGAGTTCCCACATATGTTGAGCACTTGTTGGCTGCTTTTTCCTTCACTCTGTGGTCCGACTCATCCCAAACCATCTAAATTGGGTTGAGGTCGGGGGATTGTGGTGGCCAGGTCATCTGATGCACCACGCCATCACTCTGCTTCTTGGTCAAATAGCCCTTACACAGCCTGGAGGTGTGTTGGGTCATTGTCCTGTTGAAAAACAAATGGTAGTCCCATTAAACCCAAACCAGATGGGATGACGTATCGCTGCAGAATGCTGTGGTAGCCATGCTGGTTAAGTGTGCCTTGTATTCTAAATAAATCACAGACAGTGTCACCAGCACACCATCACACCTCCTCCTCCATGCTTTACGGTGGGAAATACACATGCGGAGATCATCTGTTCACCCACACCGCGTCTCACAAAGACACGGCGGTTGAAACCAAAAATCTCCAATTTGGACTCCAGACCAAAGGACACATTTCCACCGGTCTAATGTCCATTGCTAGTGTTTCTTGGCCAAAGAAAGTCTCTTCTTCTTATTGGTGTCCTTTAGTAGTGGTTTCTTTGCAGCAATTCGACCATGAAGGCCTGATTTACACAGTCTCCTCTGAACAGTTGATGTTGAGATGTGTGTGTTACTTGAACTCTGTGAAGCATTTATTTGGGCTGCAATTTCTGAGGCTGGTAACTCAAATGAACTTATCCTCTGCAGCAGAGATAACTCTGGGTCTTCCATTCCTGTGGCGGTCTTCATGAGAGCCAGTTTCATGATAGCACTTCATGGTTTTTGCGACTGCACGTTCAAAGTTTCCGTATTGACTGACGTTTAAATCTCCAATTTAAAATATATTTTGATTTAACACTTTTTTTGGTTACTACATGATTCCAAATGTGTTATTTCATAGTTTGGATGTCTTCACTATTATTGTATAATGTAAAAAATAGTAAAAATAAAGAAAAACCCTTGAATGAGTAGGTATGTACAAACTTTTGACTGGAAGTTTATCAACTTTATTATTAATGCATTTAAAGATATTGGTCTATAGATGCTCTACGCCAGGTTTCGGAGAGATCGGTTGAGTGGTTTCTGAGGATACGTTGTTTAAAAATGTAGAACAATTAACATTTTCAAAATGGCGGATGATCCATCATGGTGACGCCATCGGTCGTAGAGGCAAATATGTTCCTTCGGTGGAGAAGAACCTTCGTACCAATTTCCGGACTCTAGGTCAAACGATGTGTTGGGGCTGACTTTTTGAAATCAAATGTTGTTTATAGGGCCATCTTTTGGCCAAGTTGCACCAGATGTATTCGTGCACTTACTTACACCATCCCATCAAGTTTGATCTCTGTAGATCTTACCATTTAAGAGCTAAAGCTCTCCAAAGATTGGAAAATAATAATAATAGGGTTCCTTCGGGGCATGGACCCCTAATAAACCAGAAGAAATACAACAGGGTTTCACCAGCTTCACTGCTGAACCCCTAATAATGACTGAAGAAAAATACAATAGGGTTTCACCAGCTTCACTGCTTGAACCCTAAATATACAACGTTGGATTTGGACTGACAAGGTTTAATATAGTTTTGCTTAAGTTGTATTCTTCTAGAATCATTTTGTAGATTCTATCTATAATATTTTTTTATGAATGTTGAAACACAGGAATAGTCCCACATTGAGCATATGAAATTTGCAGTGTGTTCTGTTCTGCATCTCGGTAGATTGGGACATAACTTTTTTTTAGAGTGCTTTGGGTCTTTGAAGGTGATGGCTCCCGGTCCCGTTTGTCAGCAGTCGAAGTAGTTGCTTCGACATTGGGACTTGGCAAAAATTGCGAAATCCTCTTCTGATCTTGGGCCGGTTTCACCAGTTGGGCGTTAAAAAGTTGGTTTTAAATGCTAGGTCGGGCGTAGCTAAGTCCGACTTTGGGATCAGAATTTACACCTGTTGCACCAACCAAAAATAACACTAGTCGAAGCTAAGTCCGGCGTAAGAAATGCTTTCATGAGATTTGATGCTTCATAATGATGGTTGCTCGGCAGCGCATGTCGCTACGCCAATCACTTCGCAAAGCCCACCACCATGCATGCACGTTTTCTTAACCACAACTGGATGGATCAATCAATAATTACTGTGGGAATGAATAACACTGAATTACGAAAATATTGGATTAAAGTAGGCTAATGCCATTGAAGGAATGTATCATACATATTGTTGCTTACTGAAACTCCCAAAGTAATCCAAACATTTAAAATAATTTAAAGCAATAGCCATTTGTGGTCAACAATAATTTCAGTACTGTTATGATTTTTGTTTTCACGGAATCTACGTTTTGATATTTGGCTACAATTAGGCAGGGAAAATGTTAGCCAAATTGAGGTGAATGTTCATGATGATATCCTTTAGTCTAGTTTGCTCATCTAACAGTGTAATAAGAACATTTTGCTAGCATGTTAGCTAGCTATGTAGCGTACGCTAGCCTAGTATAACAGGTTTTTGCTCTTCACTCGCGTAGTATCCCAACCAAAAGCCGTTGACTTGTCTGAAAATCAACCAATGTGATTTTGTTTCACTGAATCTCTGTCTGTATGTTTGGTTATTTGATCTCTTGCTGGGCAAATAAGTGGAGGTGGCAGCTCATCTATATGTTTACTAATATCTGTTCAGACACATTTAGCATGCTATGTAGCATAAATCAAGTGTATTATTTTGCTATTGACTCGGCAACTCGAAAAGCCCACTGAGGTCATGAAATATGAACACTAGACTCACATGCTTTTGAAAATATAGATTGCTATTATTTTCTGTGCATATCATGAAAGAATAGAGTCCCAATTTAACACCCTACGTCTGCTCCCTACTAGCTCAGTTGGTGCAACAAGTCAAATATTGGGGTCTGGCGTGGAGCGCATTTTACATCGGACGTAGAGTTACGACCTACTTATGACCAACTGGTGCAACCGGCCCCTGACGTAAATTCTAATCAAACGACCGGGAAGTTGAGGCAATACCATTAGTCGTTCATTAACATTTTTCTCATCTGCTGCCTTTGATGGGTCTAACATCCTCTTGGTATGCCCTAAAGTGCCTTTTATGCACAGATGGAAATAATCGTCAACAGACATGCTAACTAGATACACTGCCCTGCTTGCGGTACTGTTGTTTATATATAGACATTGAGTGAAATGAGACCCTTCATATGGTACGTTGTTCTGATTGGTTGATAATTTTCCTCAACGCCCCTAGCTCAAACGGTTTGAATCTGGTCGTGGCCCGATTGTATCCATGTACGGAAACAGAATGTGAACTTGCGAGATCAGGATGGTTATCATTTTCACTCTGTGTAGAGTAAAACACTCAAAACCATGCCCATCATTATCATATTTCCCAGCATGCTCTATTGAGGTTGATTTTTAGAATTGTTTGTTTCAACAAACATAGGTGCAGACACAAGCATACACACACATGATAACATACGCATTATACACACACATACACATGGATTTTTGTACTGTAGATATGTGGTAGTGGTGGAGTAGGGGCCTGAGGGCACACAGTGTGTTGTGAAATTTGTTAATGTATTGTAATGTTTAAAAAGAATTATGAACTGCCTTAATTTTGCTGGACCCCAGGAAGAGTAGGATCCATAATAAATACAAATAAATACAAATATCTGGGGTTTTGCATGTGCATTCATTTATTGATTGATCTTGTGCTACATATTTCTAAACTAATCCAATCTGTTAGTAGTTGTACTTATTACACCCATTACTGAGATGGTTGTTCCAGTTTAGATGGTTTAGGTAGTCTGATTCATCAACCTTCCCTACATTGGCAGTCATTCTGAATACAGGTTGCGGATGATTTAGTTCCAATTGTTGGATATCCTTACTCTGGTAGACAGGATTATCCACACATACTTAGCAGCTCGTGTTATAGACAGAAGCATACTACATATCAGACCAATCCGAACTCATCTCTCGGCATGTCCAGACAATCCATTATCTCAGCCAATCGTGGATAGCGGGAAGGTTCCTATATTTTTCCGTGGCTAAACCAACTATGCTCGTTATTTAACAATTCTATTCGTATTTACAGATGGCATACAAGTTTGTTATTAAGGCACATGAAAGTTCACATGTTCCAGAAGGCATTTCTGCTAAGTTTTGACGTGCTACATACGCCTAGTTTCTTGAAACGTGTCACATGTATTTCGGAATGTATTTAAAATGTATTTATAAATGTATATCAAAATATATTTGAAATGCATCAGAACATGTATTTCATGTATTTCAAAATGCATTCTGAAATACATTATTGAAATGTCTTTAAAGATACCAGTCAAAAGTTTGGAGACACCTACTCTAACAAGGGTTTTGCTTTATTTTTACTATTTTCTACATTGTAGAATAATAGTGAAGACATCAAAACTATGAAATAACACATATGGAATCATGTAGTAACCGAAAAAGTGTTAAACAAATCAAAATATATTTTAGATTTTAGATTATTCAAAGTAGCCACCCGTTGCCTTGATGACAGCTTTGCACACTCTTGGTATTCTCTCAACCAGCTTCATGAGGTAGTCACCTTGAATGTATTTCAATTAACAGGTGTGCCTTGTTAAAAGTTAATTTGTGGAATTTCTTTCCTTCTTAATGCGTTTGAGCCAATCAGTTGTGTTGTGACAAGGTAGGGGTGGTATACAGAAGATTGCCCTATTTGGTAAAAGACCAAGTCCATATTATGGCAAGAACAGCTCAAATAAGCAAAGAGAAACGACAGTCAATCAGGTAAAATGTCAAGAACTTTTAAAGTTTCTTCAAGTGCAGTCGCAAAAACCATGGCTCTCATGAGAACTGCCACAGAAAAGGAAGACCCAGAGTTACCTCTGCTGCAGAGGATAAGTTCATTAGAGTTAACTGCACCTCAGATTGCAGCCCAAATAAATGCTTCACAGAGTTCAAGTAACAGACACATCTCAACATCAACTGTTCAGAGGAGACTGTGTGAATCAGGCCTTCATGGTCGAATTGCTGCAAAGAAACCACTACTAAAGGAAACCAATACGAAGAAGAGACTTGTTTGGGCCAAGAAACACGAGCAATGGACATTAGACCGGTGGAAATCTGTCATTTGGTCTGATGAGTACAAATTTGAGATTTTTGGTTCCAACCGCCGTGTCTTTGTGAGACGCAGTGTAGGTGAATGGATGATCTCCGCATTCTGCAGCGATACGCCATCCCATCTAGTTTGCACTTAGTGAGACTATCATTTGTTTTTCAACAGGACAATGACCCAAAACACACCTCCAGGCTGTGTAAGGGCTATTTGACCAAGAAGGAGAGTGATGGAGTGCTGCATCATATGACCTGGCCTCCACAATCACCTGACCTCAACCCAAATTAGATGGTTTGGGATGAGTTGGACTGCAGATTAAAGGAAAAGCAGCCAACAAGTGCTCAGCATATGTGGGAACTCCTTCAAGACTGTTGGAAAAGCATTCCTCATGAAGCTTGTTGAGAGAATGTCAAGAGTGTGCAAAGCTGTCATCAAGGCAACGGGTGGCTACTTTGAAGAATCTAAAATGTAAAATACATTTTGATTTGTTTAACACATTTTTGGTTACTACATGATTCCATATGTGTTATTAATGTAGAAAATAGTAAAAATAAAGAAAAACCCTTGAATGAGTAGGTGTGTCCAAACTTTTGACTGGTACTGTATATATATATTTTTTGATGTAATTTTTACCCCCTTTTTCTCCCCAATTTCGTGATTACGATCACGTCTCATCGCTGCAACTCCCCAACGGGCTCGGGAGAGGCGAAGGTTAAGTCATGTGTCCTCCGAAACATGACCCCGCCAAGCCGCACTGCTTCTTGACCCACTGCTCGCTTAACCCGAAAGCCAGCCGCACCAATGTGTCGGAGGAAACACTGTACAGCTGGCGACTGAAGTCAGCGTGCATGCGCCCGGCCGCCACAAGGAGTCGCTAGAGAACGATGGGACAAGGACATCCCAGCCGGCCAAACTGTCCCCTAACCCGGCCAATTGTGCGCCGCCTCATAGGTCTCCCGGTCAGAAATATTTTTTTTTATTAAAATGTATGGCAAATATAACAAATTGTCCAACTCGTATTGTAATGAAATGGTGACTGTCTTAACAATGAAACTTTAGTAGACGCTTTGGTATCACATGCAATTATGTCAGTCTTATTAAGACTGCAGAACTGGCAGTGTACAAGCTTAACCTTTAATCACAGAACTCAACATAACACATTAACTGGCATGACAATCCGTCTCATGGGAGGCCAAAAGCACTAAGACAAAGCCACGGCCCCACCAAGCCTGCCTTCAAGGGATGCCGCTGCTACAATACATTTTGTAAAACTTGTTTTTTATTGTACTTAACACATACCAAAAGCACACCAAAAGCACTAACATGCATTTAAATATACTTAAATGCCTACTTAATTGACTACAAACATTTGTGGTCATTTACTGACTCCATGTCTTTCATGTGCATACTTGACGAGAGCATTTTGCAACCAAACGGGCAGATCTTAATGTGTACTTGGTCATTCGATAACAATATTCTTCCTAGATTGAGATGGATTCCCATTGATCACAACTACAAGTACTGTATTGGGTGTCTGCCATCATTGTAACATAGTAACTACATGTGTTTCACTTTACGTTAAGTTGCTTGTTCCTGTGTAGAAACATTGTAGTTACGATACTTTTCTATATAACAACATCGTATTAACTGACATTTTGATATATCCTGTGAAATATGTAATTGCATTGAAAGTACATTGTAATTACACTTACAGGTAACAACATTTATCCTACAGTGAAGTGTATTTTCCCAATGATTGTAATAAAAAGGTATACCCTACTGTGTTTCACTTTACTTGAAGCTGCTTGCTCATGAGTACCTACATTAACATTAAACAGTACATTATATTATTTTGAACAAGATTTCACTTACATTACACCTTTTAAGCCAGGGAAATAAACCTAAAATCCCTTTCAAAGGCAGGTACATAGTATTTACAAAGGTCATACCATTATGTGTTTCACTTTACATTAAGTTGCTTGCTCCTGTGTAGGTACATTATAGTTGCATGCATATCCATTGTAAATACATTGTTCTTACATTTAATTCAGTACATCCTTTAAGCCAGATATTATGGAAATAAGATAACTGAAGCAGTAGTTAATGATAAGGTGTGCGTTGTTACAACAGCTGATGGAGTCCTAGCCTAGCTTATTTTGGTGGTAGGGACTTATGTAGTTACATGTAACAAGGTTACATAATAGGATGCATTGTTAACATGGTGCTACACAGGAGAATGCAAAAGTGTAATTACAGAACATGTTAGTTACATTTGGAACAAGACATCTTGTAATTACATGTACATAAATCATGAGTAATTACACATGTGGAATAACCTCAGACAAGCTGATTTGTAATTACATGTCCTTGTTCCACTAATAACCTATACCGCTAAACCCTTATTACAGTGTAATTACATAGTATTTACATAGTAATTACATATAACTACTATGTTAGAAATATGTATTGTTAATGTATTGCTATTTAGTTACATATTAATTAATGTACACTTAAGGTAAAGTGTTACCAGGTGGGTACATCAGAAGAACTCTTAAATGTAAACCAATCAATAACAATGTTTCCATCCAACCATTTTATGTGAGTAAAGTACCTGATAGATAAGAAAACTCATGTCAGGCCTGAAACAGTATAATTGTCAGTAAACTTTCCAAATGTCTACAGAAACAAATATGCTTGACAGGTGAACAGATCATATTGCAAATGTCAGTAGAAACGCTAGGTTGTGCATTTGTTGATAGAATACCCTTGCAGTCACGCGATGCTATGTTGTGTGGTCCTCCCACTACTACTTTGAAAAGCACACAGTTTATTAGGCTACAGATTCAATAATTTATGATGAACTTCACAGGGTGGTGAAAGTGCACAAGGAGGAGCGTGATGCTCCTTTCCAATAAATATTGAGGGTCTTAATTTTATGCTGGAGACATAATGATAGGTGCTTGGCTGCCAAATGACAAAAAAAAATGTATCTTGCTCTTATCCATTATCTCATCATGTAGCATACCTTGCAGGAGGTGAGTCAACCAAGCATCACAAGCCCTCTCTAAAGCCATAAAGGTAAGAATGGACCACTCACTTGCTTCGTGGATGCCTGGGTTATCACTGAACTCCAGTACATAGAGGTGGCGTCCCTCCACACTGCGCCCAATGCTGTAGATCCGTGTGATGTATGGGCACTCGCTCTGCACTACGAACAGGGCCCGCACTAACTCCTCATAGCGGTGGTGCTGGATGTCAGATGCCCAGGCTACGGTCCCATTTAGGCCCATGAGAAGGGCCCCGAGCCAGACAATATTCAACCCCAGCCACATGGTCACTCACTGTAGCAGGGGATTGGAGATGAGTTGAGCTTCCCTTGACTGCCAACCCCTTTCTTTGTCTGACTGCCTTAGTGCCTATGTCTCTCACTTATTCTCTCTGTTCCTCTAACTATGTCTCTCTCTCTCTCTCTCTTTTCTGCCTCCTCCCACGAGCTCCCTACACCCCCACACTGAAGAGCAAATAAGGACAGCCCCCTCTTTCTTTGTCTCGTTCCCTTACTCTATCAACTGCCTCTTTCCTTTAGTCCCTGGTCAAGTACGTGTTAGTTGCTTCACTGGCATTAAGTGTACATAAGAGTCTGTTTTTACTATGTCAGTACCTCCCCCCTCTCTCTTCTTTTCATTATTCCTCTCTTGCCAAATGTGGGGGTTTAGGTTGACAATTACTCCTGGCAGGGCTTTTGTCTCTCTGCCACTGACTACAGTAAAACAACAAACATAAGTAGTAGGAAAGGGAGACAGAGTGGGAGTGTGTGAGAGAGAGAATGATACCTAACTCACATACAGTGGGGGAAAAAAGTATTTAGTCAGCCACCAATTGTGCATGTTCTCCCACTTAAAAAGATGAGAGAGGCCTGTAATTTTCATCATAGGTACACGTCAACTATGACAGACAAATTGAGATTTTTTTTCTCCAGAAAATCACATTGTAGGATGTTTTATGAATTTATTTGCAAAGGACACCAGAAACAAAATTGTAGACCTGCACCAGGCTGGGAAGACTGAATCTGCAATAGGTAAGCAGTTTGGTTTGAAGAAATCAACTGTGGGAGCAATTATTAGGAAATGGAAGACATACAAGACCACTGATAATCTCCCTAGATCTGGGGCTCCACGCAAGATCTCACCCCGTGGGGTCAAAATGATCACAAGAACGGTGAGCAAAAATCCCAGAACCACACGGGGGGACCTAGTGAATGACCTGCAGAGAGCTGGGACCAAAGTAACAAAGCCTACCATCAGTAACACACTACGCCGCCAGGGACTCAAATCCTGCAGTGACAGACGTGTCCCCCTGCTTAAGCCAGTACATGTCCAGGCCCATCTGAAGTTTGCTAAAATGCATTTGGATGATCCAGAAGAGGATTGGGAGAATGTCAGATGAAACCAAAATAGAACTTTTTGGTAAAAACTCAACTCGTCGTGTTTGGAGGACAAAGAATGCTGAGTTGCATCCAAAGAACACCATACCTACTGTGAAGCATGGGGGTGGAAACATCATGCTTTGGGGCTGTTTTTCTGCAAAGGGACCAGGACGACTGATCTGTGTAAAGGAAAGAATGAATGGGGCCATGTATCGTGAGATTTTGAGTGAAAACCTCCTTCCATCAGCAAGGGCATTGAAGATGAAACGTGGCTGGGTCTTTCTGCATAACAATGATCCCAAACACACCGCCCGGGCAACGAAGGAGTGGCTTCGTAAGAAGCATTTCAAGGTCCTGGAGTGGCCTAGCCAGTCTCCAGATCTCAACCCCATGGAAAATCTTTGGAGGGAGTTGAAAGTCCGTGTTGCCCAGCAACAGCCCCAAAACATCACTGCTCTAGAGGAGATCTGCATGGAGGAATGGGCCAAAATACCAGCAACAGTGTGTGAAAACCTTGTGAAGACTTACAGAAAACGTTTGACCTGTGTCATTGCCAACAAAGGGTTTAAAACAAAGTATTGAGAAACTTTTGTTATTGACCAAATACTTATTTTTCACCATAATTTGCAAATAAATTCATAAAAAATCCTACAATGTGATTTTCTGGAGAAAAAAAATCTCATTTTGTCTGTGTACCTATGATGAAAATTACAGGCCTCGCTCATCTTTTTAAGTGGGAGAACTTGCACAATTGGTGGCTGACTAAATACTTTTTTCCCCCACTGTATGATTTGCGATATGTTACATGAAACATTTATTGGGAAATGTTTATATGGTCCCCTTTCAATCAGCCACATTTTTAACACATTCTTGTCAACATTCAACTTTCATAATGCCATTGCTTTCCGCAACTGAGAAAGAGACATTCAACGTTGACCCTCTTGTTGCAATCGTTGTCATGGTAACCTGACGTGAGCGCAAGCCCTAAATCTAACAGAAATGGACTACTTTCATTTCTTCACATTCACAACAGTAAGTTAGCAGCTCGCCATACTTGTAAATAATTACCTTGTAATGTTCCTGTTATGGTGAATAAAAAGTTGGCTACAGTTCAACTCAAAACGTTGTCAGATATGTTCTGGTAATTATATGAGCTGGTTAGCCAGCTAGATAGCTAACAAGCTAACAATAAACCGAAACATTGTCTAGAGAAAGTTGCTTTTAGTTGCTTGGCTTGCTAGATTGACATATCGAGAGCTTGGGACTACAAGGTTTTATCTGCATTTTCGTCCAAATTGAGGTATTGACATAGCCTTGTTCTGTTCAATGTTCTCTACCTATATAGTACTCTAAATACCCCAATTCATGTTGTTAAGTTCAAAATAATACAAGATAAAAATAGCTGACACCATTCAGAACTTTAAAGCAAATTATCTCAGAATCATATTTTTGCTGGTAGAACATTATAGTCGCAAGCTCTCAATATCCTAAAAATAAATGTATTTAGGATATTGAGAGATTGCGACTATAAGATTCTACTGATGTTTTTTTTGCTGCAACAAATAGAGCAGGTAACGTTGCTATTTGGACTAGGCTGCTGCAATATCAGACTGATGTTTCTGTGTTTATATTTTTTCATAATGACGAGAACAAGTTTGGTCATGATTTAATGCGTGCCAAAGACGGTAAGATGTAAGGTGAAGTTTATACTGAGGGGTTTGCGGGACTTTTAAAGACATTACCGCAATCATGACTAGGTCGGTTGCAGGAAATAGAAGTACAGGCTTTGTCGCCGGCAATACCTTTCAGATATAAAGAAGTCTATAAAAAGTTGTCAAAAAAACGTCTTGGTTTGAAAGGTGTATGAGAGGGAAAGGGAGAGAGAGAGAGAGATGAGACACAGGTCGTGTGCCCTACTCCCTCTCTTTGTAGGGTGTTGGTCATTCTTCGATTGCGTTGGCTTTTGGGCATTGCATTTTGGAAAGAAATCAACATATTCCTAAATGGAGGCCACAGATGCTCAAATATAAGGTCATTAGTCCTTTAAAAAATATGTAATAAATATGATTGATAATTTTGCTCACAATGTTATTACCCTTTATTTAAATGTAAAGTCCCCTCGATCTGTGGACAACGTAGATCGAAGTGGCTTGCATTGAGCGATAGCCCTGGTTCCCACATAGGATGTGAAATCTGAAACCACTTGAAGCTGGGATGTCCCTCCTACCATTTCATTCGTTCTTCCGACTGTCCATCAACTCCTGGCTGAACCCTACTTCACAGCCACTGACAGCAGGAGAGAGTGGTTTAATCACTGTAGCACATTCAGAGATCGATTTATAGTCATTCATCTAAAATAATTCATAGATTTTAAACAAAAAACACTTAATTTTTCTCATAGACAGACAATATTAATATGAGGTGAAAGGCGAGTTCCTAATGAGTTCAGGAAGCCAAGCTAGAGCTCTATGAGATGTTCACAGTAATGGGGGCAGAAGTTTTGATCAAGAGAGACCTTTACAAAATATGCAGTTTCTCTAACAGTAAACACACACATATGTATTTTACAGTTATAAGGAAGGTGAAATCTTATAATTAGTCGTTTTATCATTTGATTATACTATATTTAGAAAGCATATACAGTGGGGAGAACAAGTATTTGATACACTGCCAATTTTGCAGGTTTTCCTACTTACAAAGCATGTAGAGGTCTGTAATTTTTATCATAGGTACATTTCAACTGTGAGAGACGGAATCTAAAACAAAAATACAGAAAATCACATTGTATGATTTTTAAGTAATTAATTTGCATTTTATTGCATGACATAAGTATTTGATACATCAGAAAAGCAGAACTTAATATTTGGTATAGAAACCTTTTCATACGTTTCCTGTAGGTCTTGACCAGGTTTGCACACACTGCAGCAGGGATTTTGGCCTTAGAGACCTTCTCCAGATCCTTCAGGTTTCGGGGCTGTCGCTGGGCAATACGGACTTTCAGCTCCCTCCAACGATTTTCTATTGGGTTCAGGTCTGGAGACTGGCTAGGCCACTCCAGGACCTTGAGATGCTTCTTACGGAGCCACTCCTTAGTTGCCCTGGCTGTGTGTTTCGGGTCGTTGTCATGCTGGAAGACCCAGCCATGACCCATCTTCAATGCTCTTACTGAGGGAAGGAGGTTGTTGGCCAAGATCTCACGATACATGGCCCCATCCATCCTCCCCTCAATAAGGTGCAGTTGTCCTGTCCCCTTTGCAGAAAAGCATCCCCAAGGAATTATGTTTCCACCTCCATGCTTCACGGTTGGGATGGTGTTCTTGGGGTTGTAATCATCCTTCTTCTTCCTCCAAACACGGCGGGTGGAGTTTAGACCAAAAAGCTCTATTTTTGTCTCATCAGACCACATGACCTTCTCCCATTCCTCCTCTGGATCATCCAGATGGTCATTGGCAAACTTCAGACGGGCCTGGACATACGCTGGCTTGAGCAGGGAGACCTTGCGTGCGCTGCAGGATTTTAATCCATGACGGCGTAGTGTGTTACTAATGGTTTTCTTTGAGACTGTGGTCCCAGCTCTCTTCAGGTCATTGACCAGGTCCTGCCGTGTAGTTCTGGGCTGATCCCTCACCTTCCTCATGATCATTGATGCCCCACGAGGTGAGATCTTGCATGGAGCCCCAGACCGAGGGTGATTGATCGTCATCTTGAACTTCTTCCATTTTCTAATAATTGCGCCAACAGTTGTTGCCTTCTCACCAAGCTGCTTGCCTATTGTCCTGTAGCTCATCCCAGCCTTGTGCAGGTCTACAATTTTATCCCTGATGTCCTTACACAGCTCTCTGGTCTTGGCCATTGTGGAGAGGTTGGAGTCTGTTTGATTGAGTGTGTGGACAGGTGTCTTTTATA